CTTTTGCCTGCTCCACCTTTCAGAAAATGTGTGCTCAAACAGGCCGTTTGGAGATTTTCCCTTCATGACATCACAAAGGGCAGTAGCCCCTCCCCCAGGTGGGTGACACTCCCACAGCTAGGTGTTTGTTCTGCCCTCTGAGTCTGCCTTCTCACCGTAAACAATAGGACATGGAGCGAGAAAAGCCAGAGTACACCCAAGCACCTTCCAGAGAGGGGGCGTGGTCAGACACCGCTCATTTACATATTTAAAGGTACAGACACAGAAACAGCCTGTTCTGAGCAGGGCTGAAATAGAGGGGTTTATAGACATGATCAAATACAGGATCAGAGTGGATTTAGAACAAGAAGCTTCACACACATGTTTTGAGGAGCTCTGACACTTATTTAAACTTATTAAAAATGAGAAGAATATGTGACCTTTAAGAGTGTGCATAGATTGATATCAGATTAGGAGGATAACATTAATACATTATTTACATGATTAAGTTATTGACCCTAAAATTCTCAGGTGGAGGTCGGAGCAGGCCGTGCTCTGTGAGTTACGACCTCATTAGAACAGGATATTTTCCACAGTAACAAGTTTAAAACCAGGTAGATTTCCTAAAGCAATTTCTTGGAAATACAAAGCTTTCACCTAAAAGTGACCACATGCTTAGTCATAAAACTTACTGTACATCAACAGAAACATCATTCACCATCAGCTTGAACTCCCAACACAAACATTACTCATGTGCATCGTGCAGAATGATGATCAATATTTGTGAACATCAAACAAACTCCCTCCGAGTGTGAATCATCTTGAACCTTGTTTTGAGTAGTAATCTGGACCGACGAGGTAATTCCCACCAGTGTTTGCACATAAATTAATGTAATTACTCAATAGTGATGATTGGACGCATATGCAGAGAAAATCCCTTTGGGTATCGTGTGATTCAAAAACAAAATGTGGGCTTCTTCTTATTCATCATTTGTGGAGCAGCTCCAAAGTGTGCTGCTCTTGATTTTGAGTTTTAGATGAGACAGAAATCTGGACTGGAGTTTTCTGTCATCATAGTGTCATATCGTGTTCTGTTTGTGTTTTTGAAGGACTTTATTTTTTCTACTTTTTTTCTAGTTGATCATGACATTAACATTCACATCAGCGCCTAAAAACACACACGTAAACACACACACGCTTCTCACTACTGCTTGACATTTCAGAGATGTTTGCTTTCATATGGGTTTTTTATTTAGTTTCTCATATACTTCTGACCTTCTCCGTGTTATCTTTATAATGTCAGCAGGCGAGTTATTTTAAAGTTTATGAGTAGCATGTGGCTCATCTGCCAAATCCAATCTTTTTAAGCGGTGGGACACTTGAAGTCTTTTTATTATAAGAGGGAAGGTCAAACGAGCCAGATGGGGAACGACAGAGTGCAGACGGACAGAATGAAAAAAACCCTCCGAGCGTTATTTTGTGTCAGCACACTTCTCTGCTCTATAAACCTGCGTTGATTGAACAGGTAATTATCTGGCAACTTACTGTAAACCTAATCCGATTCATATATCTGAGTCACCGTGTGTAAACAAAAGATCCTTTTTTAAGAGCTGATGTTACTTCAAGACCTATTTACAAAATGCTCCTCTACTTTTTCATTTAAATTCATTTCTCCCCACAAGGGAGAAAAACGAGTATTTGAAGGAGCTTTATTTAAATATCAATCAATTCTGATCCTGCTCAAGATAGTTTTTAATCTCTGAAAAACACAAACTCAGGGCTGTGCATCCTCACTCGTCTCATCATGTCCTGTCAACATTACGTTTGGATATCACGACCATGCATCCTGTTACGCCCAACCATAAGGCGGCCCTATGGGGCTAACAACAAACCACACATTGACAGACAATCCCTGACTGAGGAGGCATTTGGAGTTGGGACTGCTGTGCCTCTTCAGTCAGGGATTGTCTGTTGTCTTTTGTTAAGTTACTTTCTAATTTGATCTGTGTTGTCATTAAGTTTAAGTAATTGTAATAAATCCCTTTGTTTTGACTTTCATTGAGGTGTTTAGTGTCTTTTAATGGGTCAATGTGTGGTTTGTTGTTAGCCCCATAGGGCCGCCTTATGGTGGGGCGTAACAATCCTCAGTTTTTTTCTTCCTTTTACCTCCCCTGCATCAGCTGCAGGCCTCTCTATGCTAAGCTAGTGACTCAAATGGCCAAGTTTGAAGGCATTTTGTTATCATTTGTGAAAGGCACATATTCAAAACTGTGCTTAAAAGTAGAGGCGATAAGTTGCTATCCAGTTTGAAATGTTCTTGTCCAGAGTCATCTGAGAAAAGTGGAAACTCTCATGTCAACACATTGAATATGAAGCAACAGTCGGTTAAATTAGCTTAGCATAACAAGGGGAATAAGAAGTAGAATCACTACAACAATACAGAAGATATGTTTACATCCTTTTTCAAATGTTTTTATTTATGATCTGGCCACTTTAAGGTCAAATATTCTTTATAAGATGAGCAGGATACGTCTGACATTTTTGTGAATAGCAGTTAAGTAAGCGAGAAGATTGATGCCGATTTCATAGCTGCTGAAGATATACCTAGCTTAGCTTAGCTTAGCTTAGCATAAAGGCTATGAACAGATAGCCTGGCTCTGTACTAGACGACTCCATCAAGCCCTCAGAAGCAAACTAATGTAGGCCAAGATACCTCGTCTGTTTGAATTGTTATAAAAAAGTGTTATACAACCATTTGTGCTCACATGGGATGATGTGTGCTGGCTGGGTAGTGAGAGAAAAATGATGTACAGTAAGATTTCTGGATGGGTTGGCTGTTGAGCAGGTTTTCTTTCCTTAGCTTCTTTTTCTACTTTCAGTTAATGCTAAGCTAAGCTAACTGGCTCCCAGTGTCATATTGAAAGCACCAACTTAAAGAGTCGTCTCAGTCTCACTATTTAACTCTCAGAAGATTCACATTCAGACAACTTCATACATCCCAGAAGGGTGATTCAGATTCACAGCCTTACAGAGCCGTTGAAAGAAGCAAAGACAACATAAGGGAAACAAACAGTCACAGCAGCACTCAGGCGTTCACATGTCAGTAAGAACAGGTCGTCAAATGAGAAACCAGCGCTGTCAATCTAGAATTTCATAATACAGAAGAAAGCACATCATGTGTGTTAACTCAAATACTTTGAATGTCCATTTTTATCATGATTTTTTTGTTGCATATTTCATACTTTGGCTCAGTTTTTAAAACAGCTTATGCTTCTAAAAAATCATAGTATTTGTATTTGACACTACTGGAGTGAACTCCCGCACCCTAACCGACTGTCAGTTTGGATGTTTGATGTCTTCAGCATCTGTGAGGTGTACGTTTCTTCTGACTTCCCCCCCTGTATTAAATCATCGTCAGGCCTCAGCAGCTCACGTCTCCTCCACCTGCCTGCCCTTGAAGCTTCACCACACCTGCAGAGTGCTAACATGGCTGCACCACGCTGTGCCCGTTCATTGATTCACTAATGATTCACACTCACAACACGGCTGCTCTAAAAAGCTTTCACTCAATTATGACTCAGAAGTTTGGTTCGAGTTCTCATTAAATGAAATGAAAACTTTGCTGACGACACGCCATCAAATTTTCATCTTTCTGACAGAATGGATGTTTGACGCTGAGCGGTGACGACAGGCTGAATGTAGTCATCCTTAATGTGGTGCTGAGATGACCGAGGGTTTGGTCCAAAATCCTCTCGAGTTGGCTCTCGGAGATTGCATGAATATTATTAGAAGAGAAAAGGGTGTTCAGAGGGAGAGGAGGGAAGGTAGTTTTTATCTGAGGGAGGAAAAAGTCCGGCTGTTTGATGAGACTCAAATCTTTTTTAGTCTCGCTCTATGTTTTTATATTTCATTTCATCCGTTTTCTAATGTTGTAAACATGACCAGAATCTTCCAATCTCAGGGGATTCAACCCGACTACCAATATAACCCTCCTCTCTTTGTTTATTTAAATCAGGTAGCATGTTACAACCAAGCGGCAACCTCCGGTCTTGAAAATCCAATCCAATGAAGCCAATGTGAAAGTGCAAAATCCTGCAGTTTGTCGAGTGTCCGCTTGAGGCTGGCTCCAAGAAGTCACATAACCACAACAGGAAAAAAAGGCGTTTTTACAGCATAAATTAACATGTTTATTACAGCCTGGTACAAAAAAAACTAAATCGGTCTGATTAGTTCTTGTCCTCACTGGCACCACACATTACTCTTGCAAGGCATCACTAATTTAAGCTTTAAGTGTGTTTCTTGACGAAGGTTTAGAGGGACCGAAGCATTGTGCCTTTTTTTTTTTTAAAGGATTTGTGACGAGTAATGTGCAGGATCTTTTCTTTTCAATGTGATATTTTTTATGTCATGCGCACTTACTTCATGAGATAGTTTGCGTCTTATATCTTGAAATAAGATGTTTATCTGGACTTGTCGGGTCAAGAAGAAGAAGAAGATACTTTATTAATCCCACAAGAGGAAGTTCACTTTATACTCTCTGTTATTGAGACATGTTACACACACACACACACACACACACACACACACACACACACACGTAGGCTGAAACACACACACACATGCACAAACAGGATCTTATGGACATGTACTAATGGAGAGATGTCAGAGTGAGGGGGGTGGTTTTGGTGCCATGCTTGAGGGCACCTCGGCAGTGCTCAGAAACCTCTCCAGCTACCAGACCAATATCCAGGCTTGGGCTGCAATTTTGACCACAAATTGGACAAACACTTTTGAAGATTTGAGTTTTTTGCAGTGTATGTTTTGAGATTAGGGTCGAAGGAGTTTGACAAAAAGAAACATGAGGTTTAGGAACAAAAGAACGGTGTGATCGATGCTGCTCAATTTGTTCTTGTTCTTATTTCAGGAAGCAGAGAACAGAGAACATTTCTGAAAACATTTATAAAAATCTGTTTCCCCCGCTGAAATAATAACGCTGTGTTTGTCTCTGTCTGTTCTTGCAGGGTGAGCTGTTGAGCCCCTGCCGTTGTGACGGCTCCGTGCGCTGCACACATCAGCCCTGCCTCATCCGCTGGATCAGCGAGAGAGGCTCGTGGAGCTGCGAGCTCTGCTACTTCAAGTACCAGGTCCTGGCCATCAGCACCAAGAACCCTCTGCAGGTAAGAGGAAGCACGAACACGGCAGCTTATCTGACAAAGACAGAAACGTTTGAACTGAACATAAAAAAAATAAAGGAAAAGTGGAAGGGCTAAAAAACTGCAGTTCCTCAATTGACCACTTGAGGTTTTCTCCCAAAGTGAGCTCATCCTTATAGAGAACAAAACATATGACGTATTTTTGTAGGCCAACCCTGAAGTAGCGTCGCCATGGGGTCTAACGAGAATTCTCCTCTGGGATGTTTTCAGTGGATTTTGGATCACTGCAGAAAATAATCTCTGTGGTAAACGCACGTTTCTGAAGCGTAGGCGTTTTGTTCAGCAGGATAATCTTCACAGAAGTAAAAAGCTAACGTTATGCTAAAGCTAACTACACCACGGTTGATGATTGTGACGTCACTAGCGTTATGCTTCAGACGATCTCCGATAAATTAATCCACGTAGCTTAATAAATAGTTTACTAACATAATATTCACCTTAACCTAAAGATTAAACCTACAGGAGACATCTCCGACTAGTGAGAGAGTTCCCGCCCTCTGTGTCCGGCGTGATGACCTTTAATGTCCACGACAACCACTGTAGTCACATTTAGCCGCTTGTTAGTAACCGCCTTTTTAAAGACGAGTAAAAACTTCAAAATTCTCAAGTCGGGTTTTATGGTATTAAGGTCAAATGTCTGAGCAGAAACAAACAGGCTTGTACAAAAAGAAAGTTTGTCTCTTTAAACCGTTTCCTCATCTATTAAAACTGCAGGGGGGATATTTTTTACAAGTCACCTGTTAAATTATAGCAAGGCTAAACGTTATCAGTAATTATAGGCATGTTGCTTTGACTGACATGTGGCCGTCTCTACTTGTCTGATGAATCACTGCACTAAACAGCTTGAGAACAACAACAAGATGGCGCCTGCCAAAACAGCGAACACGAGGTTTTTAAAATGTAGTCCAGAAACCGATCGAGGACGACGACGTCGGGGGTGGCTACTTCCACGTCTCATGTCCAGTCTCTGATTTAAGCAAAAAAAATAATCATAAAAAAATGTGCTGGACACAAGCCGTCATACTCCCCCCTCTTGGAATATCAGAATGTGAGCTCGGATACTCTGCATGTTGAGGTGAATCCGACTCAAGCTGCTCATTGGATTAAAATGAACAAACAGACCATCGCAGCATGGCTCAGTACGGGTTTGGTTTGGCATAGCGTCCTCGTCAATATTTTTACTGAAAGTCTTATAGGCATATAGGGAATTAGAGAATCACCATGAAAAACCAGCCGCCGAAGTAACGTGGATATATAAACCCCCCCCCCCTCCTCCTCCTCGACACGCGGTCCAACACTGAACACTGTCAGGCTCTGTGAGGTAGCATTTTTAAAAATCCAGGCTGAGTGATCTTATTGCATGGGAGGGGCGAGTAGCCGCTGACTGTGACATTACATAATAACATATACAACATAAAAACAGTGCTGCATCAGACGCAACACTCTCATAGAGAACAAATCCTGGGCGGTCTCTGTGCTGCGAGTCCTGTTTGCCATATTGTGCTGACACATTTTCTCTCTGCGTCACTGTCCTTCTGCCCTCCTTTTCAGAGGCTGCCAATGGCTCTTAAATCTATTGATAAGGTGCCATCTATTGTGTGTGTGTGTGTGTGTGTGTGTGTGTGTGTGTGTGTGTGTGTGTGTGTGTGTGTGTGTGTGTGTATGTCTAATATTTTTAGATTCCTCTCTTTGCTGAGACAAAGTGTGGTAGCAGTACAGTTATTATGTCGACTTTAAACATGAGTAGAATATTTCTGTTTTTATAAGAGTAGTCGTTTGACAATCTTCCGGGTTTCAGAAGTTTTCATGTTTTCTTCTTCTGCTTCATCAACAGCAGGGTTGGTCATTTTCCTCCAGGTCCACTTTTTAAGATTCTGGTTGAAATTGTCTTTAGGTCCTGACAGAAATTAACAACTCATGTTCTCTGAAAAAGGAATGAAGAAAGTCCGTCATCTGTAGCAGTTTGTAAGCCTGTAAAAACGTCAACCAATGTCTGCCACGAGGTACCAATCTGATGAACCAATCAGGCGCCTCCCTGTCTCCTTTGCATGCACGAGCCCACACTCAAAGCGTGTCACCGATGACTTTAGGAGTTTATACTGTGAGTTTATTTACCGCTGAATAAGACATGAGACGACGTAGTTTCTACACAATGCAAGCGATGAGTTGAGGTCCACTTCCTGACCTCAACGGGGCTCCTGCATGTAAGTGAGGGGGCGTGGCTTATGAGGGAGCACAGAGGGGAGGGGGCAGGTGCAGACGAAGCACTGACGGAATGCTACTTTCAAAATCATGCTTGTTTTCAAAACTGACCAACCCTGCCTTTAAATCCTCTCACATCCCGTTGAGACCTCTTTAAGAGTCTTGACCTTTAGCCTGTGAGTGTTTGGACTTCACTTACGGACAAATTATTAATATTCAAAACCCCCAAACTATCCCCCCTTTCACATGTGCAGCCCCCCCAAGCTAAAAGAAAAGGAACATTATGGTGCATTTGAGGGTAACCTACCACCGGATTTAACATGATAAACTCCCCTTCACATTGAGCTTTATTCATCTTTAAATGGGATTTAGTTACACTCACATATCTGAGAAGAGCAACGTCAATCAATCAATCAATCAATCAATCAATCAATCAATCAATCAATCAATCAATCAATCAATCAATCAATCAATCAATCAAACTTTATTTGTCTAGCACTTTTCATACAACAAATGTATCCCAAAGTGCTTTACATCAACATTTAATCAAACAGCAACAACATGACTCCCTCCCCCACCTCTATCTCACAATCCAAAAACTAAGGTAAAAAATAACTAGATAAGAACAGGTACTGAGGAAACACCATCATTTATTCTTAATGAGGAAACACAGGAGGTTAGAAATGTAATAAAACACATAAAAGGGTTTCTAAACAGTTTGAAATATTTACTGAAATGCAGCGATACGTTATTTTGGACGTAAATAGAACGCTTGAAATGGATCGTCTCTTCTCTTAGAGATCTTCTTTTTACCTGATTTGATACTTTTTCCTCCTTCCAGTGGCAGGCCATCTCTCTGACGGTGATCGAGAAGGTGCAGATCGCCGCCATTATCCTGGGCTCCCTTTTCCTCATCGCCAGCATCTCCTGGCTCATCTGGTCCTCCCTCAGCCCCTCGGCCAAGTGGCAGCGCCAGGACCTGCTCTTCCAGATCTGCTACGGCATGTACGGCTTCATGGATATCGTCTGCATAGGTAACGGTGGAGCAGAACACAAGGAACATGCAAACATAAAGTCACACCTTAGTTTTGTATAATCGTAGCTTTAGCAGCATTTATAGATTGATTGCACGAAGATGTTTTTAGTAAAGATGGAAGAAGCAAAAGGTTTAGTCGAGAGAGAATCCAAAAGATGCAGCCATGTGAGTTTGTCTGCAACACCACAGAAGTAAATTAATAAACAAAGGCTGTGATTTAAAACATGTATTCACTTCTTCACACTCTGTCGGTCGTTAGGGGTCATACGACATTACACAAAATGGACACCAAATAAGCAGATGGCCCATAGGTAGGAGGCGACGACTACACTTAAAAAAAAGCAAAAGCAGATTTCAGTTGTGTCGCAGAGAATAAACATTTTGTGTTTTCTGTGAGCAGACCTGGTTCCACTGTTCTTGTGTTGTGGTGAGTTGCCAGTGGAAGACAGCACTGAGAACAGATGGCATCAGATATCTGCACCGAGATTATTGCCAACTGTCTATTCTCATGCACAGGCGAGATGGAAAGTTCCTACCTACGAGGCTGATTGCAGCTCGCGGTGGGGCTTTTAGCATAATATTTGATGTAAAGGCAGTGGAGAATTCATTTGCTTTCATGCACTGTCCTTCACCCTGCTCCTTTTTTTTTTTTTCTGTGCAGGCCTCATCATCCACGAGGGATCATCAGTGTATCGAATCTTCAAACGATGGCAGGCTGTCAATCAGCAGTGGAAAGTACTGAACTATGAGAAATCAAAGGACTTGGGCGACCCGGTGAGCTCGAGCAGCAAGGCGGGCGCTCGCGGCGGCCGCGGCAACCCTCACGGCCTGGCCAGCAGCAGCGCCGGGCGACAGAGCAGGAGGCTAAGGACTATTCTGAACCACCACTGTGGATACACAATCCTGCACATCCTGAGCCAGCTGAGGCCGAACGACCCGCGGATCAGCGCCGCCGCCAACCGGGAGGTGGTGATGAGGGTCACCACCGTATGAGACGGACGAGGATGTCAGTCTCTGTGCGCAGAAAATGTAAATGAAAGCAACGGACTCACGGACCTGATCTCAAATTTAAAAAAACAAGACTTGTGTAGGCGACAGGAGTCCTGCGAGGAGCTGCCAGACAGACGGCACACACACTTGAGGATATCTCTCCTCTTGTTTCGTACAACAAAAGGAAAAGCCTGATGCTCCTTTTTTCAATAATTTAAGAACTTGCGAGAAAATAAGGATGAAAAAGCATTCAAAGACATCAAACAGAAAAAGGCGAATAAAACGTGTAAACAGGCTTTATAACCTAACCCAAGATGACGAGACGTTTTCTCCAGATCAATATCAGGATGCACAGAGACATTTTACTTTTGATTTGATCCTCTTGCTTTTGGTTTGTATCTCTCTTTTTTTTTCTGGGTTTTCTTTTTTACTGCTCACTTTGATTTTTTGTACGGATGTATGATTTTTAGAGGAAATCATGTAACTCCATACATGCCAAGCATTTCCAGACATCGATGTAAAAAATGATCTTTAGAAATTTCTACGAGCTGCAACGATGCTGGTAAAAAAAAAAAAAAAAGACCGAAAACTGAAACAAACAAACCGACAAAACAAAAAACATGAGGGGAGGTGGGGGGAGGGGGGGGGGGGGGGACACTGAGGTGACGACTGAACAAATATCTCAAGTTAAAAAAAATTAAAAAATGGAAAAAAAGAGAAAACAATAAGATTCAGTGACACTTAAACTTTCTGCAATAAAGAGACGTATGTACATTTCACAGGGGGATTTTTGCATGGGTATATAATTTTATTCTTCATCACATAACATAAGCACATGACAAATTTGCTCTATTTCGAATGGTGCTTGCCAAACTAAACACTCTAGAGACATCTGATTTCATCGCACCGACTTTTTGTCCACATGACAAAATGGCTACAGTGTGTTACAGCTCTTTCAGCTCAAATACAGATTGTTGCTGCTGTGTGTGTGCTGATTCAGATTTGATAATAAGTAAACTATTGGATTAAAAACAGGGATCGATGATCTCTTACTACTCCGTCTCTTGACTCTTCTTTACTCCACTCTGGACCCCTGCATGTCCTGGATGAATGTGTGGCTTTGGTTTGTTTTTATAAAGATTTATTTTGGGGCTTTTAATGGAGAGATAGGAGAGTGGATAGATTCAGAAATCAGGGAGAGAGAGTAGAGAATGACATACAGGTGGGATTTGAACCTGGGCCGCCCGCTTGGAGGAGCAAAGCCTTCATATGTGGGGTGTGCGCACTAACCACTGTGCCCCCTGCTTTTTTAACCTTTTTTTTATGGCCTTTATATTGGATAGAGTCAAAAACCTGGGGTGAGAAAGGCAGTGGGGAATGTCATGCAGGAAAGGAGCCACAGGTCAGATTTGAACCCGGGTCGCCCACTTGGAGGAGCGTAAACTTTCATACATGGGGCGTGCGCACTAACCACTAGGCCACCAGCACTTCATAATGTGTTGCTTTTTAAGTCTCCTATGTGTTACATCCTGATTTGTTCAAGTTAACCGTCAACTCAAAGTGAAGCAGATCTAGAAGGAAGTCACTTGATGACAGTGAAGCTGCAGACTAGTAAATTATTTTGATCCTTTCAAGCCAAAGAAGTTAAACTGATTTTGTGGTCGCAGCTTTTTTATTGTGATGATTGCGAGCTGTCCTCTGTCGTTCATGATTTAAACCTTTAACACATCTTTTCTGTTGGAAACTCAAGAGAAATATTGCAACCATCACATTACATTGAGACTATTTAACAGTACATGTGATTATGTTTGATGCCGCACGAGCTCGACTCAGACGACACTCATTTATTCATTTGGCTTAACCTTTATTTACACGAGTCAGTCCATGAAAACAGGACCAAGAGTCTGCACACAGGCCTGCAGCTTAGTGAGGCCGTGCTAACATCTGAAGCACATCAGTGCTCTGAGGGAAATGTAAAGGGCAGCATGCTAACATTCTCATATTGACACTACTAACATGCAGATGGTCGGCATGTTTACCATCTTTAATTTGGAGCCCGAGCATGCTTTGCTTTGATTTACTTAACATATAATACAGCTGATGTTTTTTCCTTTGTGTATCTGTCGTGTCTTGATGCCTGCTGCAGATCTAATCTGCTTCAGGATGATAATAAAGTGGAAGTTGATTTTGAAGGCTAGTTTTTTTTATAGATTTAGTATCATCATCTGACTGTACTATAGAGGTCTGAAACCAAATTTAATGGAAATTCACTCAATCTAACCAACGTCTGCAACCAGGAGAATGAATCACTCCACAACAATTTGAATTTATGGTGTCAGAATAATCTGAGGAGATGTAACTTCCCCACAGAGGCACTTTGAGGTGAACCAGGGGGGCCAGGTTATAACAATTTATAACAATATTCCCTCAAGACCGAATTTCCTGAAACCTGAAATTAAATTCCTCATTGACCGTGAGGGCCGGTGACATGTTGTTATTTCAGTTAGAAAATCTAATTATCAGCAGCTGAATTCCTTTGAGCTGCTTAAATATCAGGCTTCTGTTACTGAGCATTGTGACTCACTGAGTGGAGCCACAGTTAAAGTGATTAGTAAATAATAACTCTGGTTAAATTTGTGCCAGTGGACACATATAACTCTGACTATGAGATGCCTGTTAAATCCTGTATTTAGTTTTTGGTGGTGTTTATCTCACAGCCAGACAGACAAGTTGTCACTGAAGTGTGCCGGTGCAAAAAGTTTTCTTCGCTGGAAATCGGTTAGTGTTTGTCGCCCTCCAGTGGTTGCTGTAGTACTTGTCGGCCAATCGCCCTCAATATGAAACCATTTCATGTCTCAAAGGGACAGAAAAACAAAAGTATTTTCTCTTTCCTGCAGCTAGAGGGCGATACAAAGCCTGCAGCAAGAAGAAAACAACATCTGAAGGTGTGTGGAAAGTGTTGATGAACTCTGGATGTCTCTCTTTTCTTTTTGGATCATGCAGAGACAAACAGAGACACAAGGACCAGAAGTGATCCAGCGGTTTGGATGAAATATCAAATAAGACATCTTTTTACTTTATTACACTTTATGTTGTATTAAAGCAGGAATAGTCTTCAATAGGAACATTTGATGTTACTCGGATCTTGTACCTAAATAAAAGTTAAGCAGTGTAAAAATATTTTAACATATCCTGAATTGGAAGTCATAGTTACGGTACAGAAGGCATTCAATTATTATAATTAAAAAATAATTTCACCCTCTATTACTCTGATACAGGCCTAGTAGGCTAGATGATTAATCTGATACATATAATAATAATTAATAAAATACATTAAAAAAAATAGTTGGAAAAATTCGGCTTATTATCATTGTTGTTATTAGAAGTTGCAGTAGTAGTAGTAGTGTTATCAATTTTAAATATTACGCCTATTAGTATCAGTTTCATTCTCAATAAAATGTTTTATTTTGAAATGTGTAGCCGGAAAAACATTTTTTTTAATATTTAGATATTTTAATTTCGAAAGGAAACTGCATAAAGAAAATGTTAGACCTCGAAAATACAACTATAAACTATTATCTAATCTATTCTCTTTTCTTTCCTCTAGGTTTTGTGTTTTATTTTGACATTTCTAGCCGGAAACACACTTTTTTTATATTCAGATATTTTCATTTTGAAAGTTAAAAAAATGTGGATATCGAAAATACAACTATTAACCATTATCTAAACTTTCTTTCACTCCATGTGCCATGTAAAAAGTTTAATAACAACAATTAAACGGGTCTACCTTGTTTTATTTTGGTAGTTCGTGTATTTTGGTAGAGGTAAGTGAGTCTCGAGCTCTCCGGCTCAGAATCAACTCGAGACTTTTTCACAGAATAAATCAGGTCACGGGACTGAAAGAGGGGCTGCTAACAATGGGAACATTTGTTAAACATTGCCGGTGTGTCTGACTTTTGTCCTCCCCTCCTACTTCCCCTCCTCCTCCCTCCTTACCTGTCCGGCAGGTTAACACCTTCACGCTGGATGTCCAACCTGCCGCCGGCCGGATTTTCCTGCTGGGAAGAAGCGAGGAAGAAGAGAAACTAACCTGACGACCAGAATGAAGTTGGCAGGTTACAGTTTCGTTTGAAGTTTTATAACTTTTTTTTTTTAAATCTTAAGTTTGAACATTTTTAAATCAAGAGAAGAAGAAGATGTTTTCCTTCCTGCGGAAAGGTGAGTTTTGCGACAGGTGTTTGTGCTGTTCTTTACATTTGTAAAGCTGCTTACTGTGGGATTCGTTTTATACTGTACGATTTAATTCACCTTTGCACAAGTTGACCTTTTATAAATACGTTTTTATTACGTCACTCTTTACGTTTCTTTAAATTCTACATGAGAACAATTTAGACACAAACTTATTTTTCACTCAAAAGATTCATGTAAATAATTCAACACATCTTATGGATTTATATCGTGTTATTACAAAGTTATTAAAAACTTTATTACTCCTTTGATTGTAGAATATTACAGGCTCCTGTGTGTGTTTCTGAAAGAGGATTTTATGCATAATGAATATTTTAACTTTAACATTCCTGTAGAAAACGTTTAAATAAATGACTTTACAAAGTATTTTTTTATAGAATCCGACCGATTAATCAGCCAAGCCGATAATATCACCTCAAGTGTCGATCAGTATCGGCTAATTTTATCACAGATATGCGCCGATATTACTATTTTTAAAAAGTGAAATAGCATTTAATTTGAGTTTTACTGTATTACACTTGCATCTCTCTTTCACCAGCAGAGGGCGCTATACAGACTACAACAAACATCACACCAAATCATGCTCAGTTACTTTCCAGTTTAGTGACCATATTGTCTTAATTAAATATCTTTTCCAAAAGTGTTCGATAACTGCATTTGAGGAATCAACACAATCAATGTGTAAATATAAATCTATCACTACAGATCGAACATAGATCTCTAAAAAGATATCAGCCGATGTATCAGTATCGGTATCGGACGACCCCACCGCGGCGTGGCGTGAATAGTTTAGTCTGTAAATATTCTTGTATGTTTCTGGGTAAATAAAGCAGCGGGACCGTCTTTAACCTGATGATTACCTGTGCGTTTTTCTCTCATGGTTTGTTTCTGTGTGTGACAGAGTTAGTTTTGTGTGCTCTGGGATTACGCCGGCGACTGTAAATCCTGTTCTAATTACACCCGTTTGCTTCCAGTCAGAGACCCCCCTCCTGAGAACATCCACATCTCCTGTTTGCCACCCAGTATTCCCACAGACCAGGAGCCGGAACAAACTGGAGGAATAGGTAACACGGGTGTTTGTTTTGTAGACGCTATTGCTTTCTTTTTAAAGGGGTTGTCATGGCAACGTTCTGAAATGCTTGCTGTGACACTCTGCAGAACTTTCCCTGCCCCAAAAACTTAGGGACTGACTCTCTTCTTTGGCCCTTAACATAAACAAATGTTTGACGTTTATAAGCCCAATAATCTTTCTCATTGACTGTATATAAATAAGGACAGTGTGTCTCCTGCTCCTCCTGTTGTACAGCAGTGAGGCCAAAGTTATCCCCTGCGACAGGGTCCAGACATTTTGAGCTAAGGTGTGTGCAGAAAGTACCTTTTCAAACATCTATCTGTGCTGTGCTTTGGTCAGAATATAACATGAATCAAGCACCAGAGGAGGTTTGTGACCCTGTATAAACCAGCTCTCTCAGAACGCTCCGTTTTGGTGTGTGTGTCTCTTTAAATGCAATGACCCCACCCCCTGAGTTTTCCTAGTAGACATCACTCCTCTGTAGAGAGAATAAAAATGACGGACCTGAACAAAAGTTTTACTCTAGGCTGGGGGTGGAGTCCATGGGTGGAGATATCAGGGGAAGGGAGGGGATTTTTTTTTTTACCGGAATCCCACTGTGACATCACAAGGAGAGCACATTTGAAATGGAGCATTTTTCTCTGTGTTGTAAGACTTATGCAGACCACAAACAAAGGACTGGATGGATTTATTTCACATGTTGTGGGTCTGTAGACACTCAGGTTACCAGAATATATGTATTAGTGGATTTTTTCATAAAATGTCTCCTTTAATAAAAACACACTTTTAACTTTAACGATCTGTCATATAAAACAGGAGATCTGCTTTCACCGCTCTTAGACTTTTATGTTTGTCAGATCAGATCAAAAAATAACGTCCGTTTACTGTTCTGCTTTTGAACACTCACTTCCTCTTTAGCGCAGGTGTTTTTCATCAAACGTCTACCTGTCAATGCTCCTCGGCGTGTCCTGTTGTTGGGCTGTTTGTGTGACCTTCAGAATATGGTGATTTCTGTGTGCTTTAGTTTTTGTGGTTCTTTTCCCCTCTCATGTTTGAGCAGGCGATGTTGTGGAGGAGAAAGCGGTGATCCAGACCACACACACACACAGAGTCACACCCCCGTCCGTCTTCCTCCAGAAACAGAATAATGAACCTGTTTCCAGCACTTACTTTGACCAGAGGGTCCCTGTTCCTGACGACCATGGGGAGGTAATCCACGAGTCCATAATCAAGATCTGACATGTGCTGATTTATATCTGCAGGACTGTGTCACCTTTGGAGGATTTTTCATGCTGTTGTTAATATAATGACTAGGAATAATTCAGTTTCTGGGGGGAATTATTTGCTTTGTCCTTCAGGTTTAATGAGAGTTTGCAATAAAAAAAAATAAAAGGTGCAGTTTGAAGATGGTTAGCCTAGCTTAGCATAAAGACTGGAATCAGGGGGGACAGTTTACCTCGCTCTTTAAAAGACCTCCTTAAAAAATTAAATATGGAGATGACGAAATACACATTTTAAATTTATATATGTTTTTTTCTCGACTCATTTATTGACCTGGTCAGTTTTGTTTTCTAACATCTGGATTAAAATATGTGCTGACTCTGAAGATAGGCCCCGTCTCCTCTCGTTTCCAGTATTTATGCTAAGCTAACATCGCTCTGAATTTGCCTTAATAATCTGAAAGTGGTTTCTTTTAGCTCGTCTAGCTCTTGTCAACAAATGAGTTAATTTTGTGACCCAGTGAGGCCTCATTCTATTTACAACTCCCAGTTAATATTTAATCCAGAAACTGTTCCTCAATCGATTAAGATTTGTATCATGAGCTAAGATAATAACACCTGAACTCTAAGTTAGAGTCCTCTTTCTGTTTTCCTTATTTATGGATTTGAACATCACTCGTCGACCCTTTTTTAGTTGCCTCACTTTGATATCGTTTCCCTATTTTACTTCTTTGTTAATAAATAACTTTATTAAAAACAAAACAAAAGGCGGGTGTTATTGCAAAAGCACACTGCGTAAAGTTTCAATCAATCTTTATTTGTGTAGCGCCACTTCATGCCAAATGTTATCTCAAGACACTTCACTAAAGAGCAGGTAAAACACTGTACTCACCGCTATACCACTAAGACCCAACATCAATCCATCATGAGCACTAAACAACATTTAACAAAGTTACAGTGGGAAAAAAAGCGTTCTTTTAAGAGGCAGAAATCTTTGGAAAAGTTTGACTTCACCAGTGTGACCGTTTTGTTTCCTTCTCCTGCAGAGGGGGATCAGCCTCCGTAAGCTGTGGGCCTTCACCGGGCCGGGGTTTCTGATGAGCATAGCCTACCTGGACCCGGGTAACATCGAATCCGACCTGCAGTCTGGAGCTAAAGCTGGCTTCAAGGTAAGGCTGTCACTATACTGAATCTTTAAGTACTTTGTCTCCTCGTTGGTCTACAAAGTAGAAGAAAAAAAGAGAAATGAATGCACATTAATGTTTCCTGAAACCACAGGTTACATCTTCATATTCTCTCTTATGTTTCACTAATGGCTGAGAAATTTAGTTTATAAAGGCTTTAGAGAAAGAAACGTTAGAAACCCTTTATGAAGGACTACAAATGTGTCATTATTTTCCCTAAAAAGTTTAGGAGAGTTTTGAGGTCAGAATCATACACCAAATGTACAAAAGGTGCAGTAGAGGGGCTGTGCAGGTATGAGTTTTATTTACAGTGAAAATATCTTCCAGGATTAATCTCCTGCAGTTCATCGAGTGTCCGCTTGAGGCTGAGTGCAGGAACGCAGGAAGTCGCTTGTTTACAGCCTGGTACAAAAAACATAATAGGTCTGATTATTTTGTGTAAAAGATTGCAGCAGTAAGCCACAGAAACCGTGAGTTATAAATGATATGCATACTTTATTTACTGCACTTCATTTAGTTATTGAAATATTGAGAAATGTAAGCACATATTATATATCTTATTAAATATCGCACAGAGAAAAGATACTGCAACTTTATCTTATTTTAATACCGTTCATCCTTACTTCAGGATTATTTTTCAACAACTTTTCACACACTTTGTAGACCTCTTTTATTTTAATAATCTGGCTGATTAACAGATGATGCCTCTGTTTCTGCTCCCCGTCAGCTCCTATGGGTGCTGCTGGGAGCCACCATCATCGGCCTGCTGCTGCAGCGGCTGGCGGCTCGGCTGGGCGTCGTCACCGGGATGCACCTCGCTGAAGTCTGCAACCGGCAGTACCACACTGTGAGAAAACCATCTTCTTCTTTTCTTTCTTCTTCTTTCCTTCCCAGAAACAGCGTGGCGCCTCTTAGTGTTGCACGGGAACAATAAACACGGATTAAATCAGCAAACCAAGACACAAAGACGGAAACATAAAGCAGAGGAAAATAAATAACAGAACAGCAGAACCGTTTTCATCTTCAATAACTACGATAACAACAATATTATCTGTGCAATATCTTTAGAATACAGGATGTTAAAGTAGACATAAACATGGAACAAGACGGGGTAGAGCTATAGAGAATTGAAAACAGTGGAGTGGAGTTTGATTTAGACAAAAACTTTTAGAGGCAGTAAACTGAAGTAATCCTGGTTTACTGTAACGGCCTCGTTGCATAATCCGCTTTGTTCTAACAGCAGAAATAATCTGAAGATTATTTGATGAAGACTGTGAGCCGTTCTCAAAAACTGTGAGGAAAAAAAACTAAGCGTGACATCATGAGTTCCTCGTGTGAATATTTCTTCATCTATCTTGTGTAAACACGTCTCGTCGTCCTCTGTGATGCCGGAGAGGGAACATTGAGCGTTAACCACACGGCTGCTGGGAAAATAATTGAAGATTTTTGTGAGAATTCTCAAGAGGAGATCTCAAGCCTACACTGTATTTCAAACCCCAAGGACAAAACCTCAGAAAAACAAAAGAAAAGCAACCAAGCTTGATAAAGTACTTTCACATACAAGCAGACGCAAACATGAGGATAAAAGCATGAGAACCTAAACATCAAAATAACCAGAAGAACACAAAATGAACATCATGAGAACCAAGACTGCATCGGACCGTGTCGTCCCCTCAAACACCACCTGACACCCAGCCTCCACCATCGCCACCGTCGTCCCCTCAACCTCCGCCGTCCTCCTTCATGCACGGATCATTCATGGATCTCTGAGCTTGTAATGCAAGACAAATTTGTGCAAACAGACAATAAAGTGTTATCTTTTTTTTATTGAGTACACAGATGGCATACAACTTCAGGAGACGCTTTTTTTAGTTACCCCTTATCTTATCTTATCTTAGCATGCACGGCCCGCTCTGACCTCCACCTCAGCAGAAATGACGTGTGGACAACAGGAACGAGAGGAATACAAAGGAGAAATCCTTCCTGCAAAGCGTCTCAAGATAACACTTGTTATGAATTGGTGCTTTACAAAATAATGATTGATTGGTTGCATGGTGGTGCAGTGGTTGGAGCCTCTCTGTGTGGAGTTTGCATGTTCTCCTCCCACAGTCCAAAGACATGCTCGTTATGGTTAACTGCTGACTCTAAATTGTCAGTTGGTGTGAGTGTGGCTGATTGTCTGTCTCTATATGTCAGCCCTGTGATTGGCTGGTGAACAGTCCAGGATGTTAACCCCGCCTCTCGCCCAATGACAGCTGGGATCAGCTCTAAGACCTAAATTTTATTAAAAAAGCAATAAAATGAATATTTATCTCTCTATATATAAAAAAGTTTAAAATTGGTTATTTAAAAGACAAAGCTGGGAGGATTTTACCTCCCAGCAAAGCAGATCAGAAACTGATTTAAAGGATTATTGCAATACCCATCAAACTTCAGTGAGTATTATTTGACGTAACAACAGATTGTTCAGACTCAGAACTGACCAGATCCTCCAACAAAAGTAGAATTCAGATTCAAAGGATTGAGTTATTTCATCTGTTTCACCTCTAAACAGCTGAATCAAAAATATCTGTTTCTTTATTGTTAGTTTGTTCCTTCGTCGTCTTTTTTATTATTTTATTTTGTTGCACTAAATGTACACGTTAAAATCCAGTAAAGACAAAGTCGTACGTCGGCTATAAAATGTCCCAAAGGTCGAGAATACATTGTAATGGAAAAATCTGTGTGTGTTAAACTAGAAAGGACACTCGCTGCACGCCTCCGCCGAAAGTCCACTCCATGAAATGCAAATCAGCATTTTCTTTTCATTAATTCATCACTTATTCTGGACACTTCACTTGAAGAAGTCTGTTTTATGTCACTTTATGTCACAGTTCAGGATCAAATATCGTTCGTTTTACTCTGAATATGTCTTCTTCTTCTTCTTCTTCTTCTTCTTCTTCTTCTTTGTCTTTCTCTAAATGTTGTGATTTTAAAGGATTGTGTGTTTTTGTTATGGGTTTGGAAAGTTACTCTTTAAGCTAAAGTAGCTACTCACACCTCACCTATACAACCTCTATAACCTTTATTAAAGCTTCTTCACAAAGGTGACTATGGGGCTGTTTTTCTAAACTCTTCTAATTTCTTTAAAATGTGTTTTGATTTGTAAACAGACCCTCCTCCTTACAGATATTTATTTCTTTGTAGCTGTGTCTGACCGCTTCAAAGTTGAGGTTGATTTATTTTTACTTAAATGCTGCACATACGTAGTATCACATGACGCTCACATGACGCTCACGTGACGCTCACGTGACGCTCACATGACGCTCACATGACGCTCACATGACGCTCACATGACGCTCACATGACGCTCACCTGTTTGTCTTCCCAGGTGCCTCGGATCATCCTGTGGTTGATGGTGGAGCTCGCCATCATCGGCTCAGACATGCAGGAAGTCATCGGCTGCGCCATCGCTTTCAGCCTCCTCTCTGCCGGCAGGTGATGGCGCACACACACAACGTTTATGCAGCGAATGCCGGGTTGTGTTTGATAATTCATGCAGAGGGCGGCCCGTGATCTTTGTCACAGCAGCAGCAGCAGCAGCTCATTCTCATCAACGGCTGCAAGACATCCCCTCGTTCTTCTGCCTCCCCCCCCCCCCCTTCTCTTTCACTATCAAACAAAGAAAAACATGTCCAGATTAATCCTCTTAAATCAGTTCTGACAAACTGTAGGGGAGATAAAACATCATATTTTACAGACTATCAGAAAGCGTCGAGTGGAGGTAGAAATTTGAGTTAAAAGAAAGAATCAGGGCGCGGTCACACTGGCCATCTGTACTGTGCTGTACTCAAGCACTTTAATGACTTTGCGGCTATTTGTGAGCCATTTCAATCAGACACAGCCATAAAAATGTTTTACTTTATTTTTATAACTTTAGGGTTGAAGCGTGCTTGGGCACGGTACGGATGGCCAGTGTGACCGCGCCCTCAGTTACCTCAGATTTGTACAGTCATCCTCTACTGGAGTTAAAATGAGAGTTTAACTGTGCTTTGTGTGTGTGTGTGTGTGTGTGTGTGTGTGTGTGTGTGTAGGATTCCCTTGTGGGGTGGGGTCCTCATCACCATCATCGACACATTTGTCTTCCTCTTCTTGGATAAATACGGTAGGTTTTTAGTCTCGTACTCATCTTACAATTTAATTTGTCTTTATAACAACAGCAACAAATCAAACGCCCTCGTTAATCCCCGCGCAGGTTTGAGGAAGCTGGAAGCTTTCTTCGGTGTCCTCATCACCGTCATGGCCATCACCTTCGGATATGAGGTACGAACTTTAAAAATCCACATACATGTTTGAGTCCATGTTAAACAGGTTTGACTTCATGTTTCTGTGACCTGCTTCAGTCAGCGTCTAATTACATCTGACTGAGGAGTAATGTTGGATAAAGTCAAAGACACACAGGCTCAGGTAGGAATCACAGCAGTTTGTTTAAGAAGAGATTAAAAGTGAGGCGGGGCCGCTGGTGGCGCAGTGGTTGGCGGCCCCGGGTTCGAATCTGATCTGTGGCACCTTTCTTGCATGTCGTTCCCTTCTCTCTCTCTCTCTCTCCCCCATTTCTGACTCTTTCCACTTAACCTCTCAAATAAGAGCCCAAAAAGCCCAAAATTAAAGAAAAAAAAAAAAAAGTGAGGCCATCTTAACTCTAATAATGAACCAGTTCATTTGTTTATCTATTAATCCCTAAACAGGAGCTTTAAAGCTTGCAGTGCATCAACATACATGGTGCACACACAAACATTTCACTTTGACACATTTCATTTATTATCCAGTTAAGGATTAAAAAGCAGCATCACAAGAGTTACAGTTAAACGGGCCTGACTCAGTTCAAACTGGTTTACAGAAGGTTCCTGTTCTGCAGCTCAAAAAAAAACAAAAATCAAAGATCACATCAGACAAAAGACAAAACCAACATTAGACTTAACAACACAGACGATCAGAGAGGGGGCGGGGGACTCTGCTTTAAAATGCATCTCTGAGGTCGTTGTCCTGATGTAATGTACGACCTCATTCCAGAGTTTTGGTGTGTGTATGAAAGAGCGACCTCTGACCTCAGCTGTTTTTGTAATCCGGTTTTTGGGTTAATGCTCGCCGGAGTGATCTGATGACGCGTTCCTGACTTGTGTTCGATCTTGGAACTAGATCACTTAAGTTCTTGAGACGAGGTGCTGTCGTGGATCTGAAAGTAAAACTTAAAGGCATGAATGTTTGTCTAATTCTGAACTGTCATGGCGTCCCAATGTGGGAGTGTTTCATTGTATGGCGCTGCAGAACAGTCCCTGCACATCTGTATGAGCGTGTGACCAAAAACAAATCTTAAAGAGAATCTTAAAAGAAGGAACTTTTATTTAATTTAATTTTTTTATTCCACCTTATCTATACATCAGAATATTATTATTAATACTTATTTTTGTATATTTATTTTTCACTAAGTGCTTCAACAACTAGTCTTTCATCTTAGCCGTCAACAGGATATGACAAGATAGTGAAAGAGTCTTTATATGTGAGTGACAGCAAGGGGTGGGATCTGTTTGTGTCAATGTGTGTAATTATCCAAAATTCAATAAAAATAACTTTGAGTCAGAAAAGAAGGAACTCTTTTCTGACTCAGCTTTTTGCATCCAAACGGAGACTGACTCCGTCTCATTCTGGAAGACTAAATGTTCACACACGCTCTTCCTCCTTTCCTCTCAGTATGTGACGGTGAGCCCGGATCAAGGCGAGGTCTTAAAGGGGATGTTTGTGCCGTACTGCGAGGGCTGCGGACCCGTTCAGATGGGTCAGGCTGTGGGCATCGTGGGAGCCGTCATCATGCCTCACAACATCTACCTCCACTCCGCTCTCGTCAAGGTGAGTTACAACTTTCATTTAATTTAATCAACCTTGTGAAATAATCAAAACACTAAAGTGTGAAAAATCTCTCAAACAGTCTCGAGAAGTGGATCGAACAAACAAGAAAGAAGTCAGAGAAGCCAACAAATACTTCTTCATCGAGTCCACCGTCGCGCTCTTTCTGTCTTTCCTCATCAACGTGTTTGTCGTGGCGGTTTTCGCCGAAGCTTTCTACGGACGCACAAACCAAGAGGTGGTGAGTGTCTCGGCTTGCAGCTCCAATCGTCTTAACATCAGAAACATTTTCAAGCCTGATTTAACCCTCATGCATCACTATGGACATTTTTGGTCACATCTGACCTCTTCATCTGGCCATCATTTTGTCTGTGTTTCTTCTGTGTCGTTTCTTAAGTCACTAAGGACAAAAATGTCCACTTCCAAAAAACTGATCTAAAAATAGAACAGATTGATATTTTTTTCTACTTTTTTCCTGCATAAATCTCTTAAACAACTTCAGTCCTGCTCAAAACTACCAAACATTCAATCATTTTTAGGAATTTAACCCTTTAAATGCCAGTTTGATTACATGATGTCACTGTTGTTATTTATGAAAGAAAACACAAAAATTAGTTATTTTCCATTTAAAGGGTTAAATTCCTGATAATTATTCAATGTTTGATAGTTTTGAGCAGGACTGAAGTTGTTTAAGAGATTTATGCAGAAAAAAAAATCTGTTCCAATTTTATAGCAGTTTCTTTAAATTGGACATTTTCGCCCTCCGATGTCCAAACAGGGAACTTTTAAATCTGATGCTACACAAAAACTAACAATGCATCAAAGTCAATATTTTGGATAATCTTTGACTTATCAGAGACTGATTTTTAAAAAAATCCCCCAGCCACCAAATATTTGTGATATGGAAAATAACTAATTTTTGTTTTTTTTCATGAATAACAACATTGACATCAAGTAATCAAACTGGCATTTAAAGGGTTAAATTCCTAAAATGATTGAATATTTGTTAGTTTTGAGCAGGGCTGAAGTTGTTTAAGAGATGTATGCAGATTAAGTAGAAACAAATATCAATCTGTTCTTGTTTTATATCAGTTTTTTGGCATGGACATTTTTGTCCTTAGTGACTTAAACTGATGCCTGAGGGTTAAGAAGGTGTGTTTTTTTTCTTTGGCTTGCTCTGCTACAGATGTGTTTGTCTCCTTTTCCCCCCAGTACACGGTGTGTAATGAAACAGGAAGCCCTCATTCCCACCTCTTCCCTCAGGACAATCAAACTCTCACTGTGGACATCTATAAAGGGGTAAGCTCAGAGTCTGACACTTTTACCACAGCACTGTTCTGATCTGAAAGTCAGGGACAGATTTTATGAATGAGCCGGAGATAAGTTTACTTTTTAAAATGTCCGGCTTTTAAAACTGCAGATCCTACACCTCCCATGCAGCGCCGAGGTTTGTGCACAGGTCTCCTTTCATAACAAATCTCAGGACCCTGATTCATCTTTGTAACTGGCCTGCTTTGTCTAAGCGTAGAGAAAATCATCGGCGTGTCCTTATTTAAATGAACTTGGACTCTGAAGTGTTGTAGTACTCGATGTCGGTCTTTTTAAAGGTCTTGCAATGGAAAGCATTTTTACTCTGTCTTGTCTTGGTCTCCGTATTTTAAATCAAAACCACCACTGAGAGGCTAATTTTCCACGTCATCACTGTGATTAGAAATTAAAAGCCTCTTTCTAAACGGCAAAGCGAGTTTATTTATGTCGCACATTTCAACAACAAGGCAATTCAAAGTGCTTCACACAAGACATCAAAAAGCATCATGACAGAGGAAAGAAAAGAAACATTCAAATAGAACATTTAAAAAAATCACTGAAATTATTAAATCTGAAAATATGTTCCAATAAAAAATTATTCAAATGAAATTAATTTAAATTAGAAAATAAAATAAAAGTAAAGATAATAATAATTACAGTGCAGAGAAAAAGTTTAAAATAACACAAATAACTTCAATTCATTCATGATTAGATTTTTTATCCCCTGGTTACAGCCGCAACCTTCCCAGTGTTACAGTGAGTGACACGTCTGCTGCACACAAGAAGATGATTTTTCATTGTTAATTATGGACTTGGTCTTTTCTCTGTCTCACCCCGCCTTGGTCCTGGTCTTGACTCGATCTCTGAGCATTCTGGTTTCGGGTATGTCTTGGTCTCGGTTAACACCAGATATCTGTTCCCAAAGTTTATCTTGAAATGAGGAAAAAGGACTTTCAGGTACGCTTGCTCCTGAAGGAGGATCTGTGTCTGGGGGAGTTGGTCTCTTTTAAACTTTTTTAAAAGTAGATTGAAGGTGTTGGAGGAAGATGCTTCAGGGTGTAGAAGCATCTTCTTCACACTCACATATTGTCTGAGTGTGATTTTGTCTGGAAATACAAAAACAACAAACAATGAATTCATTGTTATTTATGGGCTTGGTCTTGTCTTGGACTCGGTCAGTGTGGTCTTGACTACAACACTATCTGTTCTCTTGAAATGAGGAAAAGCACTTTCAGGTACGCTGAATGAATTACATTTCATTTGATATCTCATACCCATGAGAACTAAGATAGAGTTCAACTTGAACCAACTGTAGAACCGGTTGATTGTCGTTAATGTTTCTTGTATGTGTGACGTTTAACAAATGCCTTATGCTGCCCTCTACTGGCCACAAGGCAGCGTAGGATAAATGTGTTCAAATGGTGAAATCCTGATGCAATTGGCTGCAAAAGGAGACCTTTAACTAACTGATACATAACCTAAATATAAACTACAAACACTGAATTTGCAGAGTTGTTGTTGTAGGATCATATTGGCTTGCCATATTTCTCACTGACATGCTGCGCTACAAGAACAGAACCATCAACATACACTGAGAAATATTTACAAGGTCCTGCTAAGCCGAGATGATACTCTGGGCTATCTGATGCTTTTTTATAAAGATGCAGAGATCCTAGTAGAGGAAGTGTGGACGCAGGAAAGAGGATGGGAGAGCATTATCAAAATAAAGAGTTGTGAAATTCTCCTCTATGATTTCCGGCGTCTTGCTATTTGTGTCCGTCAGCTGTTTGGTATCCACCAAAACAACCAGCTGAAAGAGGCTAAAACACTTAATCGAGTTTAGTTTAGTTACATGACACCATAAATTAAAAACGTTCCCGGATCAGAGTGCTCTAGGTAAGATATATTCATTCTCAAGAAACAAAAAGAGAAAGTAAGAAGTCAAACTAATCAAACAGAATGTCCCGTCTTCTTCTCCAAGCTTTTGAAACAAAATCAGCAAAGTTTAAACACATCAAACTTAAACAGCCATTCCAGTTTCTGCACATCTGTCCGCCCCAGTATTTCTGATTTTACTTCATGAAACAATAATTCTCTAAAATCATCAGATTCTGTACAATGCAAAAGAAAATAAGACTCTGTCTCAACTTCGTCCAACTCACACATCTCACAGAGTCTGTTTTCTACTGGAATATTTTTGACTTCAACGGCCAGAAGGAGAATACCAGATCTTAACTGTACGACCGAGGATCTTTGGCTTCTAGATAAACGACACGTTACAGATCACTCGGGCATAAAATGATTTTTGATCTGTACATGTGTCCTTAGTTTTGTCTTGGACAGAGCGTTTTCAAACTTGATCAAGAGCTTATCTCTCATGGAGTTATGTTACAGCAGTGATTATCATAGTCATATCCACCTCCTGGAAGATTGAGCAAAGATGAGTAATAGATGTGAACTGCAGATTCAAGTGATTATTCCCTGAATGCTTTTCATTGTGATCGGTCTTTAATCACATGTCAAATGTCATTGTTAGCTAAGATAAAATGATGGTTTGTGCAGTATTTTTCTCTCAGGATGCTCTTTACCCTTCGCTCACTTAAGTCCTGATTGTGTTGTTGTTGAAGCCCTGTGAGGTCATTCCTGTTTTCTGGTGACTGATAGGCTGCTGCTGAGGTTGTGTTTGTTGTGTTTGTTGTGTTTGTGCGTCTGTTTGCAGGGCGTGGTGCTGGGATGCTTCTTCGGCCCAGCAGCGCTCTACATCTGGGCCGTGGGGATCCTTGCAGCTGGTCAGAGCTCCACGATGACGGGAACGTACTCGGGCCAGTTCGTCATGGAGGTCAGTGGACGAGAGAAGACCCTGCACTACACAAAAACATCATGGGACAAATTTCACTTGCTGTCTTGTGCTAATGGGGTTTCATGGTCTGAATCGTTTTTATTCAAGAGGTTCCTTAATGAAGTCTTTTGTTTCCTCCTTCAGGGTTTCTTGAACCTTCGCTGGTCGCGCTTCGCTCGGGTGTTGTTGACCCGCTCCCTCGCCATCACGCCCACCTTGCTGGTCGCCATCTTCCAGGACTTGCAGCACCTGACCGGCATGAACGACTTCCTGAACGTGCTGCAGAGTATGCAGGTCAGACGGGACAGAAATTTCTAACACACATAATTAAGTTTGAATTAACTTGAAATTCCTTTTCATTGCTGATTTCTCAGTGAGTAGCATGAAACACATTTCCCAATGATGCATGCTCTCTCTTTTTTTTTTAATTTCTTGTCTCACAGTTGCCGTTCGCCCTCATTCCCATCCTCACCTTCACCAGTTTACCGTCTCTCATGGAGGAGTTTTCCAATGGACTGTGAGTTCATCAAAGTCTAAACACACCCCCAAAAAACAAATCCTAATTTCATTCAACTTTTTGAACAAATGTCTGTTCTCTTGTTGTCCCCTGCAGAGTGTTTAAGATCGGAGGAGGCCTGGTGGTGCTCATGGTGTGCTGCATCAACATGTACTTCGTGGTGGTCTATGTGGCCGCTCTGAACAGTGTGTGGCTGTACTTGCTGGCGGCGTTCCTCTCCATAGCATACCTGACATTTGTGGGATATTTGGTACGTAACATTAGGTCGCGTGGGAGCGGCTCTCTCTCTCTGCACACAGTCTGCTGTGGATGAACTTTGTTCCACTGAGTAATAAAAAACATACTCCAGCAGCGTCAAACTCGAGAAATATAAAATCTAAACTTTACATATTTAGCTTGTTTAGCCTTTAATACCAATAAGAAAAAGTGTAAAAACAAAAACCCTGCTTTCATTCCTGCTGGTTCAAAGAGGTTTGAAAGTTTCAGGTGAAGAAATGGTGGAGGTATAAAGTCCTTATGTGCAACCTTCACCTGATTCGGTTTTCGACTGAGTCCTTATTAATCTGTCTTTGTCTGTCCGGGCTGCAGGTGTGGTTGTGCCTCATAGCTCAGGGAGTTTCCTGGCTGGATCCGAGCCGGAGGAAAGGAACCGACACGTCCGTCCTGATCCAGCAGGAGCCGGAGTTTGACTCCTGAATCAGAGGACGCCTCGATTCAAAGGTGAAGCTGTGAACAACTGGATGGAACTGTTTTATCTTGTTGTCACCTCGAGTGTGAGTCAGGACTTTTTTCAGGTGACATGGCAGCCTGAAACACTGTCCGCTCCTGGTGTTCAATGTAAACTTGAGATGTGAGCAAAGAAGAAGAAGAAAAGACATCTGGACAGTAGGACAAAAGAACGCTGACCACAAACTTCATAAATCAGTCCACCTATCCTAACATTCACAAATGACACAGCCAATGTTCACTTTGGTGTGCAGGTTCAGTGTCTATATGTGAAGGTGTTATTTAAGAGATACCTCAGTTTTTACACAAGTTCCTAAATCTGTTTTTTTTAATTCTCTCAAACATAAGTCAGGATGTTTACTTTTTAATTTACAGAACTGTGTTCATCTGTTTATTACTGACACTGTGACTCACAGTAATGGCTGCACGATACCACACCAGAGTGTCTTCAGAGGAGGGGGGGGGATTAAACCCTGATCTTATCATGAGGGGATAACCTGCTCTACCTTCTGAGCAATACAAAGTGGAGCGTTGAACCACAGACACATCATACGACTGAACATCCAGTGAACTATGGGCACCGGATAGCCTAGTGGTTATGTCGTGCGTCCCATGTGCAGAGGCTATAGTCCTCGTCGCAGCGAATGTAACCCCCCCCCCCACTCCCAACATGTCCTGTCTCTCTTCAGTTCTCTTCTCTGATAAATGCAAAACAAAATGGTCCAAAACATCCAGATAATTCAGAAAAAATATATGAATACAAAAATCTTATCTTCCCTAAATACGAGTATGAATGTCGTCTCACTGTGCAAAACAAACCACTCCTTATCTGCACGATCTCCTGAAGATGCTTTAATACTCATAACGATAATGATAACCTTTACTCATATTGCACCTGTAGATCAAAATAACAAACAGATTTAAGAGATCAAATCACAAAAAGAGGTGATAATCACTGAGACAAATTAGCTACGTATATGTGAAAAGATTAAAAAAAGATCAAATAAATCACTAAATTAAAACATCAGTTTTCATTAAGATGCATGAGATTATTTTTCTACCATGGCATCAATGTTATATAAATGAAGAAAAGCTGAAATATTGGCAGCAAACTCAGGAGTATTTATTCATATAGCAGGAGTTAATTGGTAACAGCAATAAAAAAGAGTTAATAAATTAAATCCCTGCAAACTGATCCTGGATCACCAGGTTAGTTTCAAATCAACACACGTCCATTACGAGTCAGTGAGCCTTCTTGCAGCTGCAGTTGCCGTAGAAACAGTGTTGGTCGTACACATAATAAACTACCTAAGTGTGTAAATATGATCTTATATAAATCATATTTCATGCCTTTGAATGCCCCTTGTGGCCTTTTTCAGTTCATGAATTCATTTTTTTTTTTTGCATAACCCTGCAATATCCACCTGCAGTTTCTCTTTTGGCCACAAGGGGGCATTGCAGGCCACATAGGACTCTCCTCAGATAGAGTAAATGCCTCTCCAACACCAGAACATAACACATTAAATAACACAGTGTGTTACATCACATTTGTCTGTTACTACTGCTGCGTGGAAACAGAATTTTTTTATTCTGTAACAAGAAAGAAAACTAAATTAAATGCGCACTAGTTTACGACTTAGCAGCACGTACATTAAAGTGTGTCTGCTGTCGCTGTGTGACATGCCAGTGGTGCTGGTATGTCTTGAGGAGCTGCAACTATTGTGTAACTACGAGTGAAAAAAGCACTGCTGGTTTCAGTGTTGCTCAAATTCCAGACCTGAAGTGCTTCAGCCTCTGAAAGACGAGGAGAGGCGGATGGACAGGTTTTTCTTTACATTGTGGCGGGGAACTTTTTTTTTCTCTCTCTCTCTCTCTCTGCCTGTCCATGGAGGGAGAGTTATGTAAGAGGGGAGAGTCTTCCCACCGCCCCTCTCTGTTTTTGTTTTTCTCAATGAGCCAATGTCTCCCTGCCTAGGCCTCACAGCCTGTCCAGTAGGCCCCTTTCCTGGAAACACAGCCTAAGCAGAGGCCACTCAGGGGCAGGCCTGCGAGGTGGGAGGGTAGGGGAGGAGGAGGGGGAGGAGGGGGAGGAGGGGGGAGGGGGGTGGCCCCTTCCAGCAAATCACATGACTGTAGACCCTACAGTCCCAGCCCTACATGAGGCTCAGATGCTGCAAGAACATTTCAACAGCTAGTTTGTCACCAACATGAGTGGATGTGGCTAATGCATGGCAGAGTGCATGAGGCTGTAAGTAGACGCTGAGAATTCCCAGGTGTGAAATGTAGAAATAGAAACACAACATCTGATGGATGCAGTGTGTGTGTGTGTGTGTGTGTGTGTGTGTTTGTGTGTTTGTGTGTGTGTGTAAGAGAGAGAAGTTAACTTGACTGTGTTTGTGCTGTGTATGTCAACATCAACGCATCTTTATGAAATGTGCGGTGAAACTTGAACAACTTGAGCAGTTTTGTGGAGAATATTTCGCAACCTTATATTTCTGATGTTTGTATCTAAACATGATGACCATTATTTTGTTTTTTCCATATGTGCCGTCGTCGTCATACTACCAGAATTTTAAACTTTGATACGATACCAGTAATAATCAAATGATTCTGATACCACTGCAACGACAATAGAAGTCATGTGCATCCTATAATGGGGTCATTTCTTGTTTTTAACTGTCAAAGAATTGCAAGCAAACACCCACACTGAAATATTCATGGGCCTTGTTTTTGTGTCATGCTGTAGAGATATTGTAGCACAGATCTGCACTGACACAATTAAGACAGTGTGCAGGTATTTACTTGATATTTTTGATGGATTCCCTCCTCTCTAATGCACCTGTCTTCTGAAATAGATGTTCTTCAAGCTTATGTACATTTCTACACTATCTCTCAGTAAAATAAAGGAAGACTGCATTGTATAAAAACATGTGGTATCAGAAAGTATTGAACATTTTGACTACCTTATAGCTCAGTGTCACAAGACTGAGCTGCTGATTGTTTGTTCTGCAAAACATCCTCGCTACATTTGTTATAGCTGAAGGCAATCGTGTTTGTTTTGTTGCTGCGGTGTTCCCTGAACCTGCTTATATAATGAACCCGTAATTAAAGAAATCAATCATTAAGTGTGCTATCGAGTTGTAAACAAACAGTTCCACTGAACAAGCAATAAACTACGTTATGGATCTACAGTGAATTGTTTGTCAGGATCATTTAAAAACAATCACATTTCAACTCTTTTCTTCCTCTTCTCTTGAACTTCACCTCTTGAGATTTGAAACGTCCTCAGCTTTTACCCCCCCACCCAATCTTACCTCGTGTTGCTTTAACGTGCCTGTGCATTAGTTCTGTAGGTCGCTGAAGGATGGACGTTGGAGCGTTAACTTGTAGCTGATGTTTTGAAGTCACATGTTTTGGAGCAGTTTCTCTCCCAGGGGATGAGACTGCAACAGGACCCTGAACGCTCAGCAGCAGGGCCTCAGCACCGTTTGGCCCCTTCTCACAGTTAGAATGAATGTGCAGCATGAAGGACGAGGGCAGAGATAATGAATTTCAAGTTTGATCCAGTAAACAGAGGCATCAGCTGAAAACCACATGACATTTTCCAGCTGTGCGGTCCATACTTCTTATTCTGTATATATTTTTACACGGATCTGTCAGTGCTGCCTGAAAATGTCCGACACCAGGAATGCAAACAGCCTGGCCGTTCTTGTTTATGTCTTGCATTGTGGCCACTGCGGGCACTGGCTGAGCTTGTGGCGTAATGGTCCCACGTGTATTTGCAATGGGTCGACTTGAGTTATTTCAACTTTTTTTCCCCTAATCAAACAAGTTAATTTAATCGTTTTTGTCCTGTTTTCTTCAGCGTACCGAGCTTATGGACGTCTGCTTTTTTCTTGTTTTCTTTGTCATTCATATATGTCCTTGAATATCCCCTGTTGCTGAATTCCACATAACAGTCAATCATTGTGATTTACTGGGAGGTTTCTGGACTCTCAGCGGACGAGGAGGTGCTGCAGAGGCTCCGTTGCTGTAAATATAAATATCTGGAGACCCGCTGGTGAAACCACACTGCCTAACATGATGTCAAACCCACTTCTATTTATTTAAACAAGGTGAAACAAATGAGTTTTAGTTCTGGCTGAAAGAAAATTACTATACTCAGTGTGTTAAAAAAAATTATAGTAAAGTACTCCAAACATCTCTGCAGTTGAAAACAACTTATCTTAATTAAAGACAATATAAACAGAAACTGTTTCTGTGTTATTTGTCCTGTTTAAACACGAGAATCAGAACTAAATAACAACAACCTATAAAGCCTGCTCAGTTTTGATTCACTATAAAGATATTTCTGCATGATGCAATCATCATGCAATGTTTATGACCGGCCGTCTCATGGTAAAACAACTGCTTTCAAGCTGTTGTTGCAGGAAAATGTTCTTTTTTTTTTTTTTGCACATAGTAAAATCCCCCTGCAGTTCTTTCGGGCAAAACAAGTTAGTTTCATTTTACATTTTACTGTGAGAAAAGAGAAGGAAAGGGAGGGAGAAAGTGAAAGGAGCCTGGGTCATTGGTTTCACTCTGCCCTCTGTTACCCTCATAAAGTACTGAGGGACAGCTAGCATTTATCCCTGCATGGAGAAACTCAATTCATCTGATATGGAGACATAGGGGTCCTTCAGATCCAGGGGAACTGGAAACATCTGCTGAACTACTACACACTTTAAAGGTATACTATAATACTATATATAGCCTATATATCACAAACAATACCTCATTAGAAATGCACTTTATTAAATGTTGTGTGCTTTTAACTATCCTGTAATTTGCATTTTATTTACATTTCAATGCTTTCTGCTTATTAAAGTAATCACATGTTGCGTTATTATAATTTTACAGGGGAAAAAATCTTATTTTTGTCTTGTAAAATGGTTGGAAACTTAAGATTTCTGCACAAGCTTATAAAATACTAAACAGTATGAGCAAGGATAAAGTGTTTTGGGAGATAAAATTACGGTATTTTGACCTGCAATGTGTTAGATTATGATCTCCATTCAGTTTGATATATTTATATAAGTGAAAAAAGCTCAAAAGACATAAAAGCATTGTTCAAAAGATATAATTAATTACATTTGTGGACGATAATATATTTTAAAAATAAACTAGAAAATTACGTTCTACCGTACAATTAATTATCAATGACATATAAGACTTAGTTTCTCTTTATTGGTATGACATTAAGTTGCAAATAATATATTTTTGTTCATATTTAAATACAATTTTACAAACAATGTGAGCTCATTTGTACGAGCAGCGCTGGAATGTGTCCGCTGCGGAGCGCGCAGAGCGGGGAGGAATGCCTTGACCACGCCCCTCTCCTCCTGGGCGTCCAATCCGGGAGCAGACACGGTTTCAAGGCGCCCGCGGAGTCCCAACCGTAGAAAAACAATACCCCGGATAACAACAAAACTCGTATTTTGCATCTAACCGCGCACAGAAATCCGATTTACTCGATCAAAAACGACCATAGCGAGTGATTCTCGGCTTTTTTCGTCGCTCTCTCGGGCCTTTCTGGCGATGTTGTTTATCTGTAGTAAGGGGGGGCTTGAAACCGCCCTCCCTTGCCCCATTTCCTCGGTTGTTTTCCTTCTCTCGCCTGGATTCTCCATGTTGTTGGTGCAAGAGTGAAGACTTCGCAGCGACGGGAGAGGGGGGCTGCTCGGCGATTTAAAAAAAACAAAACAGATACAGACAACGGTAAACCCGAAACGACGGAGCGGATAGAGCCTCTAGAAAAACATTTACAAGTGCCTTGCCCCTTCCCCGAGAGGACCGACCGAGCGAAGAAGAAGAAGAAGAAAACGCGGGGGGAATAAAGAAACCCAGGAACAAGATAAACCCCACTCCTCGTCGCGGATTGTTAACAGAGGCGGATGACAAAGTTAACCTCGGTGAATAATTTGAGTCCACTTGTCAATAGAGGCCAATGAGGGATGCCCATCGCCAGTGTTCGCGGACAGGTTTTGAGGATTTTGAGGGCTCCGTGATTGTCAGATGGAAAGTTCTGTTATCACCCAAGTGCAGAAAGAAGACGTCCAAGTGTCCCCGAAAACAGGTGAGGAACCCTGGGCCCTGTGCGTGTTTTCCCCCCCCACTCACAGTCTGTGTGCTGCATGTGGTGTTTTTATTACTGGATTAGAGTCAGAATAATGTGTTAAGAGGAGGCTGTGGTGTTTGACAGGACGGAGGGTGAGCGCGGTTTGAAGCGCATTGCCCCCCCCCCCCTCTCTCTCTCTCTCTCCCCCCCTCTCTCTCCCCCTTTCTTATTTTTACATTAACAAGGTCTGATATTATTTACATCTCTGAATTCTTGCTTATTTATGTCAATAATATTGCCTTAAAGATTTTGTTTTCCCCAGTGGTCACTTGGATATTGCACATATATTACAGCTTTTTTTTTTTTTTTTTTTTTTTTTTTTTAAACATCAAAAATGAGATTATTCTCACATTTCACTTGTAAATACATGACTTTGTGTAAAATAACACCCCTCCATTATCTGTAATTTTTGCAATGCACAGCTCAGTTAATGTTGATCCTGATTATTATTATTTTTTAATTTGGGTGCTTTTGTTGTGCAACTCTGTTTCTTCTCTACATGTGTTGTTGTGATTAGAGGCTCTTCCCCCCCCCTCAGTACTCCCTCTGTGTGATGTGATCATCATGGCCCCCCCTGCAAAAAAAAAAAAAGCAGAGCTGTGTGTGCCTGCCTTGTATGTATTTATGTGGATCAGGTTCCAGCTTGTTTGGCACCATCCCATATCCTCCTACTACTACCAGGTAGAGTGCGAGGAGCTCGTCTGACTGTCACCACAGGCAGCAGCAGCAGCACTACATAACAGAGAGACACAAGCTGTTATAAACTGTGGGGGGGGGGGATTTGCTAATATTTTTGCAAAAGGGGGGTGTGGGCCGCAGATCAGCATGCTGCTGCACTGCTCCTACATTTGCTTAATATTTGATTAGGCATATAAACACCTCAGCTTCTGTAATAAATCATTTGTTTAATAGCCTGGTGGTGTAAAGGGGGGGATCTGAGTGGCTGCTGAGTAACAGCAGGACTGTATAGAAATACCAGGTGCCGCGGTGTGACAGCGGAATGCACAAACACACCCCTCTGCACACGCCCATTGTAGCGCCTTTTCAAAGATTTCGTTGTTTGCACGCTTGAAAGAGGCTTTGCTCATTGATTCTGGTTCTCTACTTGGGGGGTTAATATCGTGCATGTTGCAGGTACTGCTGCGTGCCTCCCAAAACCATGTTTTAGGTTTAGGGAATAATTAACAGCGTCTACAGTGTATTTTGCATGTTTTGAATGCTGGATTTGTCTGCAGGATTAATCTGCTCTCTATCCATTTTTTACATGCAGGAGAGATGTGATGCATGTGTTATGTCATACATGGCCAGAACTGTCTTCCTGTGGGAAATCAATAAGCGGACTGGATATTTATGTGGATTGTATTGATTATTGTTTCAGGACATCTGAGGAATCACAGAAATAAAGCCCCCGTGTCCTTTGTCTTTAACATGCTGTTGTTGTGCAATCATCAGTGGTGGCGGTATTAGAGCCCCGGAGGGTCAGCGTGCTGGACTCTGTAGATTATAGTGAAAAAAATAAATCTCTGAGCATACAGTTGGCTGGCACACTTTTTTTTTTTCTTACTGTTTGTCAACAGTTCCTCTTTCTAGTAAGAGCTCGGTGTTTTTACGGTCCTTATGATGTATTGATGGGTTTTAAATTCTGCATCTGCTTGCAAGTCCTCACACGAAAACACACCAGAGGGGACTCGCAGGAATGTTTTCTCCCTTTTTTCTTTTAACAAGTCTCACAAAGTATATATGGGGCTGGGACACTCGTGGTAACGGTGACTGATCAAAGACCCGCACAGGTCACTGAGGTGTGACTGCTCGTCCAGCTCACTGCTCTCTGCCTGTCCTCTTGTCTGTCTGTTCTGGCTACTTAAAAGGGCGACCCCCCCCTCCCCCTCCCCCTCCCCTCTTCCAACGTATTGGACTTTAAAATGGTTGGAATGTTTTCTGTCTCTGTTTTCTGTTGAAGGTACTGCTGAAAAGTGTGGGTTTTCCCGCCCTCTGTGATTATATAACATGTACCAGCCATTTCCAGCAGCAGCCAAGGCAGGCGCATTAGAAACAGATTTCATGTGCAGGCTGTGCCATGCCCTGTAGATGGTGCCTGTAAGAAAGGAGAAGCTCTTTTAAAAGAAATCTTGCCTAATTATGTAGAATTTCCTTCCTGGTATATGTTAATCATTTAGTTTAAAAATACATTTTATCCCACTTTTAAAGCTTAAAAACAACACAAACTGCATTCATAAGAAAAGGAAAAATACAACAAATTAGAGTTACATAAATGATAAAACCATGTCAATTAGATGACAGACTATAACAACATTAAAATGAAATTAATCATTAAAATCTGCAATGAGAAAAACAATGATGTAATGTCACAAACATTTAGAGACAAAGGCAGCTGTTCATGTCAGGGTCGTATGGACAGCGTGAAGTTAGCGACTTATCTCTGACACAAGGTTCCTAAACCAATACATGTGATTATTTTAACAGTGTTTTTCATCTATTTAATTCCTCTAATAGATTTGTGTCATGTGTGATTTTAATGCCTCTCCTCCATGTTTGCCGACCTGCAGTTTCCTCCATAAAAACACGTCTCTCTCTTTCTGTGCGTCCCAACAGGCCAGGTGAGCCGCTCGGCCCTGAAACAGCCACGGAGTTGTAACATCTTCAAAGCACTCTTCTGTTGCCTCCAAGCTCAGGATGGCCCCAAACCACAGCCACCACTGCCGCCACCTTCCCAGCAGGCCTTGCTGGAGTCACAGGAAAATGGGACGGTTGTCAAGGTAACACCATTCCAGCAAGAAGATCACACCACTAAAAAACAATTTGAAAAAAAAAAAAAACCCTCTCGGTGCGGTCCCTGCCTTTATTTTTGTTTATTTAAGATTGCACTTCCTTGTTGCACCAACACACACACACACACACACATAGAGCATAAAGGAGGATGTGTTTGGATAGTTTGGCCATCTGTAGGATTGTCATAAAAATGCACTTGTTATCGTCTTCAAGCGATCTTCTTTTTCTTTTTTTTTAACAACTGTGCACTAAAAAACCGACGGCTGCACCTGCTCCGAACGACTTGAAAGCTAACCGCAACTGTCTGCGGATATGGAATCACTTTGATGTTCACACTTGATCCTCCAAGGAAGATAAGAGCGACAGAGTGACGATCACTCCTTCAGGACAACATTTAGAGAGAGAAGAGAGAGAGAAGAGAGAGTGGTGTATTGTTAACCAGTAATTGCTGAGGTGGATGAAAATAAAGCCTCAAAGCGGCGGCTGCACACAGCTGGCAAACACTGTCAGCCAGATTTAGAAACCATGTAAGTAGCATTTTGAGGCGATGCCATGTTTCTTAACGTTGAGGCCCGTCCTCCGGTGTGTCAGGAAGAAAAACATGAAGTGTTTTTACGGCATGCGCATTGACTGTCAGGCACACACTGAAATAAAGCCAAATTAGAAGTTTGCCTTGTTGCCGTGGGTTGTTGTTGTTGCTCATGGACATAGGGCTTTAGAGTCTTAATTTGAACCTCCTCATGAGCTGTTTCGTTTAGTAATATTTGAACAATTACTGCCAGCTTGATCATAAAGAGAGAGTAAAACAAAATGGGACTCCAGGTATTGAAAAGGAGTTTATTAGAAAGTCAATATGTTAGCTGTGCAGGTGAGTCTCTGCAGAGGTTTGTTTTTGGGGAAGTTTAATGAAACAGGCTGACCACAGAAGCCGCTGCAGTTAATTTAATAAAGCTCAAACGTACAGCCATGCACACATACATGATGCGTGTCTACAGTCTAATTTCCCACAGGTGGAATCAAAACAGCCGTGCTGTACTTTCAGGTTTAATCATCCTGATTAGCTTCAAGATCAGCACAGAGAAGATAAATGATGCACCTGCGTGTTTTGTGTTTTGTGCACCATTAAAAGAAGTCTTCATGTGTCTCCTCAGCAGTATGAGCCCAGCCTCCTGCCTGAGGTAGAGGACCAGGACCAGGGGAAGATCTGCGTGGTCATAGACCTGGATGAGACACTGGTGCACAGCTCATTCAAGGTACCTACACCACATATACTCATTCCTATAGATATGTGTAATATCTATGTTTTAAGTAATCATTGTTTGACCACAATGATCGGTTTATTCATATATTTATCATTTTGAATTTTGATTTAAATCTCTGACAGGGATGATGCAGTTTAACATAGTTCCTGATCAGATTGTGAAGCTGATTATTGTTCATAACTTCTGCTAATTTCCAATTCTCGTCCCTTGTTGGGCTTTGACATACACAGTGTAATCAAATGTTCTTCATAACAGATGATTAATCTGATTATTTTCCTTACCAATCATGTGGCGCTCTGACTTATTCAAGAACAGAAAATGGAGAATAAATAATCACAGAGAGTCTCCCAAAGTCCAAGGCGACTTCCTCAAATGTCTCTTTTTGTCCTCAAACCACAGACATTTTGTCTTTCATGGATATCGGTTAGTCGTTAGGTCTGTAACAGGTCAGAAAAAATTGTGACAAATGTGTTGATCGGTTTTCTCCAAAAGCCAACATGTAGTCAAAAAATGTCTCCTTTCATCCACAAACCGAAGATAGTCCTTTCAACCCTTTTTCACGAGTCATTGGTTTGTTTTTTTTCTCTTCTGTAACATGGAAGAAATTGGTGGAAAAAAGTCGACCAGTGTCTCTGAAATCAACCTCAAATGCCGTGATGTGTCCACAAATATTCAGTCAACTGTCTAAGAGGAGCAAAAAAAACCAAACAGGAAACACATAAAGAGCAGAATGACTTCAAACTGGTTATCAGAAAATGTGAGATAGATTTAATAGTTTACGTGTCGATACGTCCTTGCATTTCTTCATCACAGCCTTCACATGTGCTTAAATAAAATCTAGAGGATGAGGTTCTGTTTGTGTAGGCTGTGCGCTGTGATTTATGGCAGCCGTGCTCCACTCGTTATGTAATGCCATGTGAATGTACACATGAGAACGAGCATGCCAACCCTCTCTCCCTCTCTGTGTTCTCCCTGCAGCCCATTAATAATGCAGACTTCATCGTGCCTGTGGAGATAGAGGGGACCACACACCAGGTAAAAACTACTCTGTCTGTCTGTGTGTGTGTGTGTGTGGGGGTGGGTGTGTGTTTGCAGTGGAGGAGGGGGGGTTGTGTTTGTGTATGTATGTTGATGTGCTCGCAGCGGCGGCTGAGCAAAAAAAAAAAAAAAAAAAAAAAAAAAGGGATGGGTCTTGTAACTGATCAGCCTGGAGTTTGCTGTGACGGGAGCACAGAGCCCTCTACTGACCAGATGTTGAACAGAGAGTCACAAGTGGAAGCATTAACAGATAAAAGATTTATTTCTACTTTAAATGTCATAAATAAGTGATAAACCGACTCTGTGAAGAAGACCTGCAGCGTGAAATGGACCTCTTCAGAGCAGAGCGTCTCCCCGTTGGACATGTGGAAATGTAATCAAGTCAGAAATGTGAGTCCTGGGACCCCGTGTGCAGGATCCTCCAGTGGGCCTCTGCCTGGTTCAAGTAATCCAGGATAGGCTGGTTAACACTGGCACGGCCTATTCTTGATTACTTGTTTCAGGAACCGGCCATTAGCACCCGACGGATGAGGAGAACAAGTTAATGGGACTAATGCTAAAGACGATTAAAAGCTGCTCGTGTAGGCTGCTTCCTGATTGAGCGTTTTGTTTTTGCAGGTGTACGTCCTGAAGAGGCCGTATGTGGACGAGTTCCTGCAGAGGATGGGAGAGCTGTTTGAATGTGTGCTGTTTACAGCCAGCCTCGCAAAGGTACTTTACATCAGAAAGATCCTGAAAATAGATGTTCATATTTTATTCAGCGCCGGGTTTCTGCTGTTTGATCTTTGATGTAATGTCTGATCCTTCAGATGTTGTTGTGCTTTCTCTTGTCTCTTAGTTCTCCTCTTTATAGTGATAGCAGCTGCTTAACATGCTGTTAGTCAGCTCATAGTGAACACCCGGCTGAAGTGTAAAGCCCCAGTTTGTTTTCTGTGTTCATCTGGAGTGGGTTGTAGTCGCCCTGCGTTAGTTTGATTCAAAACAAGTAGGGCGATTGATTAGTTAATCTGCTGGTTATCATCAAGAGTAATTCTAATAAAATGAAACAATATCAGAAAGCAAAAAATAAAGAATCTTCAAATCGCTCCTTTGTTCATATCAAATTCCCAAAGATTCTGCATCCACTATCAAAAATGAGAGATGAAAGTAGGTCATCTTCACCTCTCAGAAGCTGGAATCATCGACCTTTCTGCTTTAAAAAACGATTCATTGATTATCCAAATAATCCATCTACCAGTTGATTATTTAGCTAATAGTTGCTCTCTCTAAATGTGATGTGATAACTAGGATGATGATATTCATGCTTCGCTAAGTCACTGGGGATCGCACCGCCTCAAATCCAGCTGTTAATAAATGTTTACACACACAAACGGCCACAGTGTGACTGCTGAATAGCTAACTGAGCTAACTGAGCTAACAGTCAAAGCTTATGTAAGCTTGATGTCATACGACCCATTTAAACCAAGACAAATGTTTATCCCTCTTTGTAGGCTGCTATTTTTAACCTCTTCATTCTGTTTTTATGGCCTGTTTTTTTTATTTATTATTATTACATAATGCAGATTTAAAATGCTAATTTAATAGAAGACTAGAAAAAAATACCCCTTTTGGTTAGCTCTGGTGCATTTACAGTTGATGTTGATCAATGCGCATCGTCTCAAACAGTAAAACTTTGTAGGTTTTAAAGCTCTTGTGAGGAGTTTTGAGCTGATTCTGAATCAGACTGTTAGAATATGATCTACCAAAGCAAGCACACCCTCAGTGAGAACATGTATTATATCCATATGGTTATTTTTTATGTCTGAAAAAGCTGCGACGGGGTCGGTGTCTGACATCGATTCAAAGTGCGCTGCAGAAACAGATTTACACAAACATTTTCTGAATGATACATTTGACTTTTTTAAAGAAGGCACGATGAGATTCTTTGTTAAAAACAGGACAAAATCTGCAAAAAACTCAAAGGTAGCATTTTTGTCCTAGTGAGAGACGAGACCAAGATCATAAATATCAATAAAAAAATCATCATCTTGTGTGCAGGGCGGGGTCGTCTCACTCGCTTAGACCGGAACATCGGGAAGGTTGCGACAGTAACCATAGGATGAAAATCAAATTATGAATGAATTGAATTTATTTGTGTCTTTAGAAAGAGGCGTTTTCCTTTAATCACAGAAATAGCGTCTCGGTGGTGGTCTTGATTTAAAATCCAGAGTCCTCCCCAGTCTGAGACCGAGACAAGACCGAGTCAAAATTATTTTGATTCGGAGACGAGTAGAGCCCTTCAAAAAGAGGTCTCGAGACCGAGAGTGATTTTGAGTACTACAACACTACTTTGTCCACAGGGGGCGCCAAAATCAACACTAATCAAAAGTTCCTCTCAGGAGTTTTTAATCAGTATTTCCAAAAACATCAAATAAATAACTTCAGTTAACAATATTTACCAAATGAAAACACTGTCAGCCCGATCGATCTGCACAAACTGCAACGCTGAAGTGAGCATGATGAAGAATTTCCTGTTACGTTACTCTGAAACGATTGAGTTTTGCAGTGTGGTTGTGATTCTACTTTGAATTCCTGAAGTTGACATCTCACTTTATTTAACTTTGATTCTGACTTTACGACACAATTAACAGATTAATTTAAAGACGGGGGACAACCCAATCCAGATGTGTTCATTTCAGATGCTGTTTCTTTGCTGTTTATAGAAAGTGCTTCATTAGTCCAAACCTGACACCCCCCCCTCGCTCTCCCCCTCCTGCTCCCTCTCCCCCTCCACCCCCTCCACCCCGTCCTCCCTCAGTACGCAGACCCAGTGACGGACCTGCTGGATCACTGTGGGGTATTCAGGACTCGGTTATTCCGGGAGTCTTGTGTTTTCCACCAGGGCTGCTACGTCAAAGATTTGAGTCGCCTGGGCCGAGACCTTCACAAAACCCTCATCCTGGACAACTCTCCTGCCTCCTACATCTTCCACCCTAATAATGCTGTGAGTTCTGATCTGCGTCTACGTCCTCCTTGTGTTGAAAACAGCTCTGACAGTTTTGACAGAATAATGATGGAAATAAACACACAGTTGTACTAAAGTCTGGAGCTGGTTTTCTCCAGATCTGAAGCTTGACGAGGAGAATCTTTGAGTGTTATTAGTTCTTACAAAAAGGATGAATCACACAGAATAAAAACAGTTTGCTCATCATGTTGAAGAGCTTCAAATAGCAGAGTGAGCCCTGGATGTTCTCACCGCTTAGATGTTCACAAACTCCTGATTTTAGGAGTAAATAATGATGTTAGTTGTTTATAAACCTTCATATTCTATATAAAGAAATAAAAACCTAAGATAACTAAAATATACATCCAGTTACTTTCATTATTGAATATTAAGTTTTATAAATCAAAATGTAAGAGGTGCCGGTAGAACAGTGGTTAGTGTGTGCGCCCCATGTACGGAGGCTGTTGTGCTCCAAGCGGGCGGCCCAGGTTCAAATCCAACCTGTGGCTCCTTTCCCGCATGTCATTCCCTACTCTCTCTCTCTGATTTCTGTCTCTATCCACTGTCCTGTCTCTAAAATAAAGGCATAAAAAGCCCCAAATTAAACTTTAAAAAAAGAAATAAAAAGCCTAAAACTAACCGAAGATAACTCAAAGTTACATTCAGCTTACTTTTATTTTGAACTTTAAAAATAAGCTGTGTCTAGATCATTTAATAGAAATCAAAATGTGCAGTAAAATCAGCGTTTTACCCAAAGTGATGAATCTATCGTCTGACTAGTTGCAGACATATTGCTTCACTTGTAATCCTGATTTACGGCACAACATCACCTCTGGTTAAATTGTATTCCTCTTTAAATATTCAGCAGTTAATTTGATTATCTTAGCTTTAGAAAGCCTGTCGTTTGTAGTAATATGTATATACTTTTCTACGTCAGGTTCCTGTGGTGTCATGGTTCGACGACGTGGACGACGCTGAGCTGCTCAACCTTCTTCCTGTGTTTGAAGAACTTAGTCAAGCTGATAATGTTTACGACCGGCTGGACCAGCTCCGTGGACAGTAGAGACGCTCTGATCGGTTCAGAGCTCCAGCTTGAAAACTTCTTCAGCTACAACAGAACCCTTTTTTCTTCTTTTACATCTCGAATAGATACTTAAGAGTTTACAGACTCTGCTCTCCAAGCCTCTGCACAAAATCCTCTGTTTAGAAAATCGTATTATCTCGGGGTTAAGGAAATTCCAAGGCTGTAAAAAAAACACAATGTGTTTGGCTCAAGTGAAACTATAGATTACAATCTGAGGCCTTTCCTCCCAAACCTCAGCGCTGACATTGTTGACAACCACTATTTGAAAGCACGCCGAGAAAGAGCGGAAAACAACCAAAGCAGTCCCATCACAATCACTCCAGTCAATATTCAAGTGGTGATGTTGCCAAAGCAGAAGCCTGCCTGCCTGCCTGCCTGCCCTGACTTGACTTTTTTGGACTTTTGTGTTTTTTTATTATTGTGCCTTCACGGAACAACAAGAAAAAAACATCAGCTCTTTTTTTAAAATTTCCACCAGATTTTATACATTTATTGATTTCTTTTTTATAGGTTGTTTTATAAGGAAGTCTATTTTTTAAACAGTGAACGTGGTTCTTCTATGCAACCCATGGACAGTACCTCCTGAGTAGCCAGTCAATAATTGCATTCAGCAGATGTAAACATTACTGTGTAGCCTTATTCACCTGTAAATGAGCGAACAAACAAAGTGTATTTTACCTATTTGTACTATAAGCATACTTTCTAGACAACAAGTATACATCAGAAGCGGTCAGTTTTGATATGTTGTAAGTAAACAGGGTGAAATCTTGTCTTTGATGGTCCGTTGAAAAGCAGACACACTGGATTATGTTGGCACATAGGACGACCAGATATGCCACCGTTTTCAGTCAAGGTTTGAATAATAGTTCACTTGTTACCGTGTTTTCTTGTATTACTATATGACAAACAACTTGCACTTGTTTTTTTATTGACAGTGCTGAACGTAAAAAAAAAAAAAAAAACTGTGCCTTTGAAATTCGGACAGAGAATGGTGTTCTGCCTGAAAAGAGATTTGTAGGCCTACACAGTCTGATGTGTCATGCTGAGCGTGAGTAAACACTGTCAAGAGCAAGTGTAATGCCATGTGGCTGTGGTACTTGCAGTGCAACACTTGAAAAATATCAAATTTGATTTTTTTTTAAAGCATGTGTGAGCGTTTTGTTTCTGTATTTATTGGCCAAAAACATGTATTGTCCAGTAATCTGTTGGCCTAGTTTGAGGCCGGCCTTGTGTTTAACTGTTTTATCTGTGCCTCGATTTTCTGTCAAAGCTAAGGATAATCCAAAAAAAAAAAAAAACATCAGCAGTTAAATCACACACATGTCATCAAATCAATAAATCCTGCAAGTTTGTATTTTTCATTTTGAATTCAGTACTTTAGTTTTGTTGGGGTTTAAGTCTGGGTAATATGTATTTTTTTCTATGTTTAATGTCTGATGCAATTATTGCCTGCATGTTAACTAGTTAAATATGACAATAAAAATTGTACCAGTTGTGATGACCAAAAGTATTCGTTTGAGACTGTCACAATTTGTCTTGTTTGTTTCCAAATCAATCCAAAACTCATTTTGTCTACTTGATCTGACCAAAACTCTAAAGGACAAGGTGCTACCACTTTTTATTTTCTAATAAAAAATGGTTATATTAAGCTCTTCTCGTGTGCTCTTTGTTCCTGTCACACATTGTGAGTTTGTGAGTAAGACTCTTACACAAAATACTTTTAAGTTGTTGAAGTAGGCCATACACACATCCCTGGGATACTACACTTTAGTGCATAGGCTGGTCACAATTAGTTTGATGTTTGTCAGAACTACTTGAACAAATTAATACTATTAAATTTCAATATGCAAAATTGTTCTAAAACACTTTTAAAATTAAACTGTAATTAAGCTAAACCTATATTTAGCTTTAGTCCTACACAGAATAACAATTGTTTAGTATATATTGATTAGTTACACATTCTTACATAGTGTACATTTTAGAGTACAACTATCAGACTTTTTACATTTATCTGATTCCAATTGTTACTTTTAGATTATAGAAAGCCTGTTAAGTTTATTTTTATTAATTAAAGCTGTAGATGTTAAATTTTCTTACTTGTTTTAAGTTATGAGACTTTCCTTAAATATGTAATTTTTTAAATAAGAAAATGTAAAATATTAGATTAAAAAATATATAAATATTTGTCAAGTTGAAAGCGTCGCACGCAGTTCCACGACGCGTCATATTCATACGTCATAATATTGATATCAATCTTCAATCATTTTACACTGTACTTCTATGCTCGCATTATCTATTTAATTCAGCTTGATTAAACAAATATAATAATAGTCGTTGTTTCATAGTGTTTATTTAAACTCATAGTCCGGGAAACATCAACAATAAAATCGTCGAAATAAGATTTATTTCGATGTTTTTCTTTTAACCGTTTATAATGGTGCTTCGTCTAAATTTATGAGTCGGCCATTTTAGGTGTACCAGGGACATTAATCAGTAACACCAGGAAGTGCCTGTTAATATAAAAGTTTCTTAACAATGCCACTTTGTAAAGAATAAAAAAAATAGTTCAAATCATTTTTAAATGTAAAATAGACGATCTATGTATTCATGTTGTTTAATTTCGATTGACTAATGATTTTACTTTGGGACTACAAATATCTGGGCGTTTCCATGGTGACGTCACGTGAGCTGACTGACACGTACTGTTTTGGTTTAGAAAAAAAGTAAAGCCGGAAGAAGAAAGACAGACAAACAGAAAGCTCGGAGCTCAGGAGGGCTAAAGACGTAGGTGCCTTTGTGATATCACGCGGAGCCCTCGTTTGTAATCATATTAACATTATGTGTTAAATTAGCAGCTTTATCTGTTGTTTCTGGAGCGTAAACGAGACGTCGAGTCGTGTCGACAGGCGGTTAGCTTTAGCTGGTCAGGCGGCTTCGTGTAACAGCTACATGTTAGCATGTTAGCATGTTAGCACGTCTAACACATTTGTTTTATCGCTTTAACTTCACTACGCCAACAATATTAGTTATTATTAATATTGTTCCGTTGTTGTTATCAGCTAACAGCTATGAAACGATTTGATAGCATGACATAACAAACGTTGTTAGCTCGTTTATCGTGATTTTGTGCTATTTATGACTTGTAGCGTTAGCCTGTTGGGAAATGTAATGAAGTGAAACTCTTATCTAACTACGCACTTATGACCGGAAGTAGAAGTATAAATAGTTTTTAGTTATAATAATAAAAATAGTAATATTAGTAATTTATGTTAATACTACAACGTAGTAAAAATCATATTTAAGGTGTTAGGTCGAAGCTACATGTAATATTGTTGTTATTTATATATTTATTATATATTATAATATATTTTTTACATTTTTTTATATATTATCTATTTTTATATATTCTTATATATTTATTATATATTATTATATAGTTGTTGGTAAAATAACAATAATCTGATCATGGTTTTTTGATTCTATACTGTTGGAAATTTCGTGCCATTTTTTTGTGTTTGTAAAATATGTTTGATTTTTTTTAATTAGTATATTTTATTTCTGTTTTTATTTGCTGTGTTTCTGTTCAGAGTTCACCATATTCAAGAGTCTCTTTGGGTTTCTATCCCTGGTTCCATCATGAACGTGTTTGACCGCAACATCAACTTTGATGCTCTCTTCAAGTTCTCTCAGATGTAAGTCAGCGCTCATCCTGCACTAACCAGTCAAATTATCTGCACTGTAAAGTACAAGTTTCAATGACAATAAAGAAAGTCTAAGTCTTGTCAGACAGTCATGTATTTTATCAGTTAGATATCTGAAGTTTCCATCGCCTGCTCATTCGTTGTAACCTGTGATTGCAGATCTCATTCCACCCAGGTGCACTTGAAGAATGTGTACTCCAGCCTGGCTGTTTGTATGTTTGTGGCTGCAGCCGGCTCCTACGTCCATGTGGTCACACGCCTCTTTCAGGTAATAATGAGATGTAACACAGTCTTCAAGTAGTTCATTTACAAAGTACAGTACTAATCAAACATGTGTGCATTAAGGTCAGTTAGCTAGTGGTTGAAAGATGTATGTAGATAGAGTCTTTATTATCATTGTATACAAGGACACAACAAAACTTTGTTAGCAGCAATCTTAAACAGCAGCGTTTACAAAAACAACAACAAAAATATATTTGTGGTGATATGAAAGAGAAGTATGCAAAAAGTGGCCAGAGCAATTGCTGTTCAGTGAATGAATGATAATAATAATAATAAATAAATAAACAGTTGTGGTGACTGAAACAATATATACAGTTATTATTTTGCAGTGACTGATTAATTAAACAAATATAAATATAGAGATATAGTGCAAATAAGTGAAGTTATAGTGCAGTGAAAGAGTATATACAGTTATTATTGTGCAGTGACTGGATGAGTAAATAAACAGTTTTAGTCCAATAAATAAATAAATAGACAATTGTAAAGCAGTGAATTACAAAGTTATTGCACAAGTAATATTGAACAGTTTATTGTTTCAGAAAAGTTCAATTTTGCAACCCGTTTGAACGTTGTAGATCATTTCTTTTGAAGCTAGGCGTTACACAGGTCCAGTGTGTATTCGGCTTTGGTTGATGGCTAACCCGATGTTATGCTTCTCTTCCCTTGATTCGTTGTCACTACTCTACAAGTAGAGTGCATACCAAGTTTCTTATTCACCTTCATCTGTGTTTCATGTGACAACAGCATTTGTCTGTGTAGGAAACACAGTTGTTCTGCAGGCTCATAGTGGGGGTTGTTGTTTTAGAAGATACTGAATGGGTAACACATGAAAAGTGAATCATATACAGTAGTAAAAAAGTAATCTGGAAAACCTTGTTTGATAGGATTTAGAAAGAGAAATATAAACTACAAGAAATGACAGATCTAGTAAGCAGTACAGCTCTGTGATTTCAATCAGAATCACTGCCAGATGTTTAGTTAAGACAGAAGTCTGTTTGTCTGGAAGAAACATTTCTGTCTTATCTTACCATCGTATTGCGAGATCTGTTTTGTTGTTGCTCTGAGAAACAGACATTTCAAATGTTTGAAAGGAATGTAAAACATTCTTTAAAAAAAGGGTTACCATGGTCCAAGACTTGGATGTGGCTCATTGATTTCTATCAGTGACATTTTTTGCGCTTGTTTTCAGGGCGGCATACTGTCAGTGCTCGCGTCCCTGGGGATGATGTTTTGGCTTGCGATGACACCCCACAACTCCGAGACGGAGAAGAAGAGACTCGCCATCCTCGCAGGATTTGCCTTCTTCACAGGTGAAGTCCTGATGTTGTGGCAATATGAACTTATTACTATTGCTTATGAACTGAGCGTTCTTTGTGAATTTAAAGAAACATGAGTTTAAACGCTGTGTTTGCCTTTCTCTCTCCCTCTCCAGGCGTCGGCCTCGGCCCCACACTGGACTTTGTCATCGCTATCAATCCAAGGTGTGTGAAAGGTTACTGACTGTTTAATGTCTACACACAAGCAGTGAGCAGCTAGCTGAGTAAAAGTTAAACATTACATCCACAAAACATTCTTTTTAAACCAAACCAAAATGAGAATCTGGTCTCTGCACATTGAATTTAAAATCTGTTTTTGGGGCGATGGTGGCCTAGCAGTCAGTGCGCATGCCCCATTTACTGAGGCATAGTCCTAACACCCCAATTTCTGACTCCATCCACTGTCCTGTCTTTAAAATAAAGGTATAAAAATCCAAAATATACTTAAAAAAAATCTGTTTTAACTGAGGCCTTACTGGTTTGTTTCTCCCCAGCATCATTGTGACGGCCTTCATGGGAACCTCTATGATCTTCATCTGCTTCACTCTCAGCGCTCTCTATGCCAAACGCAGGAGCTACCTGTTCCTGGGAGGTAAACGCAGTTTATTAAACGTCCTATATTTTTTCCCATTGTTTAATCCAAAGTCATGTTTTCTTCAGAATCTGTTTGTGGTTAAAATAACCAAAAACCCCTGAAGCACTTATCATCTCTTCTGTTGCTGATTCACTCTGCAGAACAAGGAGCTTTGTTTTGATCAGTAGCTTCTTTGAGAAACCTGCATTGTTCTGTGCCTGAATTAAGAAGATATAATAACTCAGCAGACATTTTTAGACGGTCCTCTGACTCAGGTATTTCAGCAAAAATAAACGTAGGTACCTGTCTCTACTACAGTCTGTGGAAAGACCGTACAATGATACATGGCTTCATGACATCCAATGTTTGGATTGCTTCCTACAGTTTATTTCTGGCTATCTCAGCAACAGAATAAAGCTTTTGTGTTGTAAAATTAATGGGACAATAAAAACAGTTTGAATAAGGCTGTTTAATGGTGACATCACAACCTTTAAAAAGTCCTAAAGGAAGAGTTATCCAACTGTGGATGTTTCTCAGTTGATAGAATTTAAACAGGTAAACAGTTAACACCTGCTTTATGACAAAGGAAGACATGTACATCTCCTCTTATCATATATGGGACTTATAAGGATTTCTCCAGTGCACTGCATACTTTTCTTTATTCACTTAACTCTGACCTTAACTTCTTCTTCTCAGGCACACTGATGTCTGGTCTCTCCCTGCTCTTCCTGATGTCCATGATGAACATGTTCGTTGGATCTGTGATGCTGTTTAAGGTAGCTGAGCTTCCATTAGCCTTACAGTTTTATAACCTCTGTGTCATAATGTGCCGTGTTCATTCTGTTTCTTTGTCTCTGGTGACAGGCACACATGTACCTGGGGCTGCTCATCATGTGCGGCTTCGTCCTGTTTGACACTCAGCTCATCATTGAAAAAGCAGAAAACGGAGACAAGGATTACGTCTGGTGAGGACTCGACTGATGTTTCTATTGGTTCACAGCGTGGACTAGCTAGGGATGTGCGTCTTTAGTCGGTTAAACGCCAGCCCTTGTATGACTAGTCGGTCCAACAAGTTATTAACATTTTTAAATGTTGGACCTCAAATTGACGCTCAAACTGCAGAACTAGCCAGGCTGTAGCCCCGCTTGATGGGCCCGCTCTCTGTGCTCTACTACCCGGATTTAAACTAGCTCAGTGAACAGAGCTCATGTCGTTGGAGCAGTGCGGTTTGGCTTTATTTTCATCTAGAAAACTGAGATAAAAATGTTTGTAGGCTGTGTCAGGTAAAAGTGGCACATCAAAGTGACTGATGCGTAGCTACATTTAGCACCAGCATGTGGATTTAAGGAGGACTGAGGGTTGGTGGTGCTAGCGTTGTTAACAGTAGCCACACATGCTAATCAGGATTAAATATTTATATATAAATGGTGTTCAGTTTGACAGTTTACTGAGTGTGTTTTTTTTTTCTTCCTTTGGACTAGCTGGTTGTTCTAAATGTAATCTTGTGTTTTTAAGCGATCAGGAAATGAGTGGACTAGGAAATAACTCGTCTAGGAAACTCCCTACTCATGAACGAAAACAAAAACAATATTTCTTACTTGGTAAAACATGGCATCAGTTCTGTAATCTGAGTCGTTCAGACATATTGAAACGATGATCATTAACATCCAGCTGATCTTTTTTATTCCTTTAGGCACTGTGTGGACTTGTTTCTTGATTTCGTCACCATCTTCAGGAAACTGATGGTCATCCTTGCCATGAATGATAAGGTACCGAGGGTTCTTCTTCTTCCTTCTCTCTTAGACGAGTCAAACACTGTCAAATGAAAAGGCTGAACTCAACAACGATGACTTACTTGTCGTGTCCTTCAACTTCAGCTTTGCTGTTTTTGGTTCTTTTATTTACTGAGAACATCTTCAAACTGATGAAACTATTTTGATCATAGAAGTGGGATATCTAGAAACTTTACAATCTTTATTTGTATAACGTCAATTCATAACTAATGTTATCACTTACAAACAGGTCTATAGTTAGCTAAGGTTCCTGAATCAAGTGTCTGCTCTTTAAATGACTGGTATGTACTGTTACTGTATCCTGCCAGTGAAGACATCATAGATCATATCTGATATAGAGCTAAAGGGAAAGACTTCCTCAAACAGCCAGTTTGGGATTGGGTCATCGAGACAGGTAGACGGTTTAGAAGAAGAAATAATCGAGTCTGAAGGGTTAATCTATCTGCATCATTTAATACTTACTATGGTTAAATGGTAAATAAAAGTTTAGTCTGGTTTATCTCAAACTTCAGTGGATCACTTTCGTGTTTCTAATTCTGTTTCTTTGTGTCTGTTTTTCTCAGGACAAGAAGAAAGAAAAGAAGTAAAGCAAAGTGTGAGGAGAGTCTAAACTAATCTGTGAGATAAAGGCACAATCTGCGCTGCACTTGGTGCTTTTCACTTTCTGTCTTCATTTATTGAATTAACTTCCTCTGTGGTCTTATATTACTGAGAAAAAAAAATCTTTGTTTTTTTCTGCTTTTATTTCTTCAAACTTACAACAAAGAGGTTGAATGTAAGTTTTACTGGTAATCTAATGCTAGTCCCATTAAGGCTGTGAATGGATAGACCAATGCTGCAGTGAACCTGTTTGGCCTGTAGAGGGGAGCGTTGCTTCATAACGCCTCCCTGAAGCTGAGCAGCACTTAAAGAAGGTTTTCATATTTACTGTTATTTAGTGCCATACATTAAGAACATGGTAGGCTCCTTTTTTTTCTTTTTTTTTTAGTGTGAGCTTCTGAGGCTGATCGTTGGTTAATTTGAGTTTCGTGATTTCAGCTTATTTATAGTTTCCCTCAGTTCCCTTTGGTGGAGTGTCACGAGACGTGCTGTCCCATGATTTTGACAACAGATCCCTCTCTCTCTCCCCGCTGAACGAAATCTCCCTGTAATCGTTTTTGTTCCTACACATTGAGTAAGAGCGGTGACGCCTGTCATACCCATAATGAACACTAACTCCATCACCAGTTTGAGGAGGGAGAGTCGAGCCATCAGTCCACATTTTCAACGTGGGATTAAAAACACACGGGCGACTTCCTCACACCTCTCTCTGTGTACATTTCTCAAAATATCTGTTGTCTAGAAATTAGTTTGCCAAACGATATGATGTTAACCTTATACATTTTTTTGAAGGTGTATACTGTGAAAAATTTATTTTATTGATGTAAAATTGAAACTAATAATTTGATACATTTGCTCAAATAAATGTGTTGAAGGTATTGAAGCGTTATTATTAAAAGTAATACTTTTTAAATGTTAAGATGTGAAAATCAGAAGAAAAAATCAGCAGCTGCTTTCAGCTTCTGAAGATCAGACGCTTTCCTGCTCTTCTCTGTCATATTGTAGCTTATGTCTTACACTTTAGACTTTTTAGAACAAAACGAGCCGTGTGATGAGGCTCGGGCTTCTGAGAATTTGTGAGGAGCGTCAGATGTCAAGATTAATCTCAAAAACAATGTTGGGAAGCCTTCAAAATCTGAAGTGAAATACATTTTTATCATCAAAACGTTCTCTCTAATGTTCATCATGAAAGTACTCATGCTGCAGGAAATGGGTACTTGGAGTATAATGCTGTTTTAAAATAATACTAATTAACGAGTAAAAAGAAGGTTCAGTAATGTTGCTCAGATCGAAGCTAACGTGGTTTTTGAGGGGTTTACTCGAGGAGTGTTGACAGGTTTTACAGAGTGCTGCTTGTATAACACATTTTGTGGATTCAGATGCCTCAAGTAAATCGGATTGTAAAGAAGTCATGTTGCATTCATGTGGTGTCTGATAAAATCTGATAAAGAGTTCCTGCCTGGGGGAAATCTGCACAAAGTCCTCAAATAATCTGAAAATATAATCATACTACTTAAAGAGTTGATGTCGTGTTACGCAGAAACTCGATGGATTCAAGTGAATGTTGGTTCAAATGAAAGAAACTTACTTCAAGATCACATTTTAAAAAATGTTCTCGCATGAATTGTCTTGTGGAAACAGGTGATACGTGATGTGATGGTTGCATCCAGGTGAAGTAGCATCAATTAGTTCCCTTGTTTTAATATAGGGGGAGCTCTAATACAAAGGAACTACTTTTTCAGATTATTCTGGCAACCCTTGAATGCAACATCAAACACAAAGTCCACACAGATGAAAACTCGTAAGTAGAATGATTTATAGTCAAACTGCACTCGGGTTGTCAAGATACCAGAATTTAAACTTCAATACTTAGAAATCAGACGATGTCGTTGCCTGTTTCGATACCATGGCAACAAAAATGCAACTCCTAGGCAGCAAATATCGGGTCATTTCTTGTTTTTAATTACCAAGAATTGCAGGCAAACTCCGGCACTGTCTAAATTGCACAAATGAACTGGGAATGTTTCAGTACTGAAACGTTTCCAGTGTGTATGCGTTGCCTTCTCTGCTTTCTGTCTATTTTTAAGAGACATCAACACAGCTTTTGCATCTCTGCGAGACGCCAAAAGGACTTGAGAAATGGATGTAAGTATTTGCCGACCTGTGGATTTGAATGTACGGCCGCTGAGCTCCCTCTCTCTCTTCCTGGCGGCATCTTTGGTTCCAAAATATGACTAAAGGTCTGTAGTTTTTAAAGCTTGCATACTTTTCCATACCATCAATCATTAAAAAAAAAATGTGAGTTTTAAAATACGAGGTGTGAAAAAGTTTTGACATTTTCGACCACAAGTTGTCCTCTCCACATACTGAAGGTCTGTTCCCTCCTGGTGCTGCTGCTGCATAGCCCAGAAACAAAAAAAAAACCCAACATCTTCTCACGAGGAACTAAATGAAAACATTTTAATTAGAAAGTTGAAAAAACGGCAGTAGGTACATAGGACCTCTATCGGCTAGGGAACGAACAGCAACAGAGAAGATGAAACACCAGATATGAACCAAATCTAGGAAGCGAGGACGCCGCAGGATTCACAGAAAGATTACAAAAACAAAAACGATGCAACATTCAAATAAATAAATAATAGAAATACATTTTCATTGAATAGTGTAGCCATTTCTCTTCTCTATGTTATTATTGCTGGTATATATTACCTTTAAATGTTTTATGATTTAAAAAAAACAGACATTTTCTGACAACCTTCATCGGTCTTGGAAACGATATCAACATGAGCAATAAAATCGTTTGTACATTTTTAAAATGGTGATGCATGACTTCAGCAACAAAGAATCACAGACATGGACATTCTTTTTTTTTTTTTAAAGGAGCTTCATGTTTTCGTTTTAAATACATTATGTGTGGAAATGATGACGATGATGATGAACGCATCGATACAGTACAGAACGTCAGCGCAGAACAAAAAGAATCCGTCAGAGAAACAGAAGACAGGTCGCTGAACATCTACCAGGAGTGACCCTTTTTTTTGTGCTAATCATTAGCTTAGCCATGCGGTTTTTGTAGTCCTGTACACATGAGTCAAAGAGAACGTGTCCACAGTCGAGTCTGATTGTGAAAAAAGGTGAACGACCTGTTTCATTTTGGTGGCTTTTGGCTTCATCTTTATTTGAAAATCCTGAGGAGAAGTCACATCGATCCATCCTTCCAGTTGCAACAAAAAAAAAAAAAACGGCTTCATTGCCACAATATTCCTGCGGATATCAAAGGGGGGCACAGTTTCTTCTTCTTTCCCTCAAAATGTGGCGGCTGGTCAGCAGCATCAAAGTTTAACCAACCAGGAGGCGTGTGGAGAGCGGTGCTGGCTCTTATTGTCTCCTCCCCCCTCCCCTCCCCCGTCCTTGGCCGGCTCACCCTTGGCTGCCGCAGGACGACAGACTGTCGTACAGAGAGTCGCTGAGGGACTCGGGGGTCTCCAGGACCTGAGGGCGACTCGGGGAGATGGCTTCCTCAGGTCGCTCCCTGAGCAGCTCCAAGCCGGCCTCGCGGCTCATTTCTGGGACGCTGGGAGTGCGAATCTTCCCCCTGCGGCTTATTCCGGACTGGGTCGGGACGGGCAGGCTGCCCGGGTCAACCACCCGGCTGGAGGACGGGCCGCCGGCCTTCATGCCCTGAAAGGAAGCAAAAAAAAAACCATTTGACATTTGTGATTGGTCTTACATAACGCCTCGAGGTGCAAGAGAAAAAAAATGTAAAGTGGGCTGCAGAAAGTCTCTAAATGAATCTTTAATCTTCAGCTGATGAATAATTTCTGAGGCAGAATGTGCTTCTGTGTTTTTCATTATGTAAGATGTGAGTGCACATTTAAAAATGTATCTCTGCTTTACTGCCTGCTGCAAAGTCTGAAGTCTGCTCGTGACCCAGATTAGCCTTCTGTCATGCTACTGCACGGCGGCGTTCAATAAGACGCAGAGAAAACAACCCAGATAGAGTTCTGATCATTTGAACCACTCTGACTGTAAAGTTTATCATATTGTAATCATGACATTTCAGTCACTCTGTTGTTGCTCTTCATTTCTTTTCATGGACAACAGCTCAAACTTTGTCTTTCATCCTTCTCGGTGTGAACACAGATGGTTCTGTACGGTACAGATCATCGTCCCTTCAGGGCAGACGTTTGTTATTATGGGCTACTTAAACATTGAGAATCACGAATCAAGCACAACATATGGTGACTATCCAGAGTTAGAAATTAGAATCCGTTTTTCTCTGCAGTGATGGCTCACCTTACCCATCACAGCGTCTGGTAAATAAAAGCAACGTAACAGAGTGATTCTAAAAACGACAAATTGATGATCTAGCCTCTCAGTTGAGGTTCATTCTGCAGCCACATCGGCTGAATGAGTTCGCCTTTGAGGACGTGGCTGCAATGGAAACTCTAAAATTATAAAATAAAATAAACGTTTTTTTCAGTTTGTTTTAGCGAGACAAAGAGCACGTCGGTATTTTCTTCAAGAGTTGAAACCTGTTACTTGAATACTGTAAGCCTTGATTTGATTTGATAATATACATCGTTACATTATACTGCCGGTTAAAATTAAGTGGCAGGTAAGAAAAATGAGTGACTGGTATATTTTTGAATCCATCAGTCACAGTGTCAGGATGAAAAAGTTGATTTCCAGTCCTGTCACCGACATACTTTGATTTTGAAATAAAGTGGAGAGAAACACCATCTCCATTGCTAACAGATTTAACTCGATAGAGAAATAAATAAAAAAAGGGGCTGACTTTTCGTTTTTTGTGACGTCCTTAATGAGTTTAAACAGTTTGTATGTCGTTGTCATGTTAGAGACGATCTATTTTAAGTCAGCCCGGGTAGCTTCACTAGCATTAGATAAAAGTTGAAAGTAGCTGCGATGCTCACCCCTCTGAATGGTGATCCAAAGGACACGGGTTCCTCCTCCTCCTCCTCCACTGCCAGGTAAACCTCTGCAGGGCCTGCAGGGGTCTTCAGGTTGGGGAAGGTCCAGGTCTTGGAGCGCGGGGAGAACATGTTGGCTCCGTGAGCTTCTTTGTCTGCAGACGATTTAAAAAAAAAAAAAAAAGGTTTTCATCAAAGAGCAAAAAGTCTTACAACTTAAATTCAAAACTTCAACGTGAGGAAGGTCAAACATATTTAATGAGAATATGAAATGTTTCTAAGAGGAGATTAGGACTGACCTACACTCACCCTCCACCTCCCTTTAGTCTACACTCAGAGATCTCCACCACCTTTAGATTAATTGAACGAGATTAGGCGCAGACATTTTTCCCCTAAAGGAAGAAACCCAGTGACATGTTGATCCTCTGACCTTTCCTTTAGTTCAAGTGTTAGGTAGACGTTTGTTTCTTTTGAAGGATATGTGAGGATGTGGTAGAAAACATACCAGCTCCTAAACTTTACCAAAGCACTGGATTTAAGGATTTATTAAAGGGGACATATTCTGACAAATCCTCTTCTGCAGTGTGTTTGAACATTTATTTGTGTAACCTGAGAGTCTACTGACCCACAACATGTGAAATAAACCCATCCAGTCCTTTGTTTGTGGTCTGCATAAGTCTTACAACACAGAGAAAATGCTCCGTTTCAAATGTGCTCTCCTTGTGATGTCACAGTGGGATTCTGGTAAAAAATAATCCGCTCCCCTCCCCTGATATCTCCACCCATGGACTCCACCCCCAGCCTAGAGAAAAACTTTTGAGCAGGTCCACCATTTTTATTCTCTCTACAGAGGAGTGATGTCTACGGGGAAAACTCGGGGCAGGGTCAATTCATTTAAAGAGACACACACACCAAAACGGAGCGTTCTGAGAGAGCTGGTTTATACAGGGTCACAAACCTCCTCTGGTGCTTGATTCATGTTATATTTTGACCAAAGCACAGCACAGATGTTTCATTTAGACCACAGGAGACTGTTTGAAGAGATGGAAGAGGAGGATCCTCTTTAAAGACAGAGTTGAGCTGTAGAAAGTATTCAAAGTTTGTATTCACCTTCACGGATGACGCCGACGGAGCTCCTCCCCTCCATCACCGAGCCGTACTGGATTGTGGGGATCAGCTGTTTGTGCGGTGTGTAGCACTCCTCCTGCGACGTCAGGTCTCGCTCCAGGGTGCGAGCCCGTCTCCCGGCCCTCCCCGGGGACCCCGAGGAGTGGTGGTCCGCGCCGGCCCTCGACTTGGACAGGCCGCGTCCCGCCGCACCGCTGCTGCAGTCGGGGAGGGGGAACGTACCGATGCCGCTGTCCAGGGTGTACGTGGAAGCACCGGAACCTGCAGAGGAAGGAGAGAGGACGGATTGAGAGTCTTTCTTGTTCCTCATCTTACTAAAGAGAAAGAGATGCTCACATAATTAAAGATTAATGAATAAAGAAAAAGACGGTACAGAGGAGCCGAGAAGTGTAAACTCATTATTCTAAACTGATCACTTTTATCTCTGACTGCAGCCTCCGCGCTGATTCTCCTCGGGGGCGTGGCCTCATTTGTTTACCTTTGATATGCTAATAAAATGTGTTTTTGCACACGTATGCTAATTACACGTTTCAGTCGAATCCTCGTGGATTGTTGCAGATTTACAGAGCAGGAAGAAATACTCTGATTAAAACTGATACTTAAAAATGGAGCTGAGAATGAACACAAACATCCTAAAGAGAAAAATGTTTTAGACATGATTCTGTTCTCATCCTAAAAGCCGAGCTCAGGACCCGTATTGCAAATAAGCCACGGCTAGAAACCCGTTCATAGATTATAAATAGTTCATGTATTGAGAAGTTTATCTGTTACAAGTTTGAGTCAAATTTGAATATTTTGTTGCATGTTTTGTATTTAAATTGTTTCACTGTTAAGTAATCTTTGAGCCCATCGACATGGTCTGATGACTTCACATAAAGGCTCTGAAGCGACGGCCAACTTTTCATACATTCTGATGACGCAGCCGGCCCGCTCCTCGCCAAGACTTCCTTTGTGCTGCATCGTTAAAACTGCGTGTGTTCAAGATCGAAAAGCTAAGCGAGATTCAACCCCTCCAAAGTCTGCAAAGTAGACTCAGTCTCTTCCTGACAGAATGAGACAGAATGAAGCCTCTGTGTGAGTAATGAACAGATTATCTTGTGATCTACTTGTTGTTAATGGGTTTTGAGTTTGCAGAAACAAACAGCATCATACTGCAGGTGAGTGAACATGCAAGATCTGTCATCAAGAGGAGAGGAAAACAACTTTTTCTGTTTGCTAAATGGAGGTCGGGTCGATCTTCTGAACGTATCCCACGGTCTAAATGTTGATTAAGGTAAATAAATCATCATCAGATTACAGCTAATAGAGAACAGGAGAGGTATAAAGTGCCTTAAATTGTGATACTCGAAGTGCAACTACCTTAAAAAAAGACGTTTTGAAATATGCACTGCTGAAAATATCTAGATCATTTCAGGACTGCTGCAGATATTTTCCTGACCTTGCTGTTCACATACTCAACTCACAGCTGGAGACTATCCCTGTCAGACGGGAGGAGGGTAAAACCTGATGTAAAAAACACGACGTGGACGTAGCAGATGAAGCAGTAGAGTCGTCTATAAGAGGCTAGAATTACAATATTAATATATACACATAATCAATGCTACGTGTAGTGTGCAGAGAGTCAATGCACTGACTCCAGTCACAGGATACAATAATAATAATAATAATAATAATAATAATAATACAATTTATTTATAAGCGCTTTTCAAAAACTCAAAGACACTGTCCTTACTGTGCTGTTCTTTCTGTTTTTTAACAATCGTACAGACCTACAGACATCGCAACATTACACACAAATCATAAAGATAACAACAATAAAGGTAGGTTAATAATACATTCTTATTTTGTATCAAAAACTAAAAAAACATATATTTTTTGGTTTGCAGGGACTTTAAGGACTTTGGATGACGTGCCGAATCAATATATAAACGTCACCCCCCCCTCCTATTGGCTCGAGCTGAATTCTCCTGATAATATCCCGCTGCGTTCTCACATCAGATCACTCAGACTTGCTGCGGAAAAAATACTAGGGGTCTGGCAGGAGAAACTCCGAGTGAAGTCAGAGTGAAATATTTGTCTGTTTGGGATCCTCAGCAAGAGCGGCGTGTTGTAAAACTGACAGCAGCAGATGGTTATCCCTCTGCCTCCACACTTGTCTATATTGTTGTTAAAGCCTTGTTCCTTAGCCTAGTTTGTTAGTTCTGAAAATTGTGTTTTTTTCGTCGAGTAAGTCTTTTTGTTTGAGAAGCAGTTTACTACTTTTTCTCCTGTTTTTGGTTTTGTTAAAAAGTTAGGTTTAGAGATTGTCTTTTGTTTGAATTTGTGTTATAAAATAAATCCTTGTTTAAATCAGAAGATTAGTTTTGCCTTTTTGGTTAGGGGACCGGGGAAGTAACTTTTTTTCGGGTTTTTATGTTACAAACCTGCCCCCCCCTTAGAGGGATGCGTAACAACAAATACAATCTGGAGTTTTTCAGGAGTTTTCTGAAAGTGTGAAAGGACTACAGGAGTATTTGAAGAAATTAACTTTTTGTCAGGGCAGATTTGTGATGGGATCGACTTCAACGCAGAGTTGACTCCTGATTTACTTTTATTCGCGCTCCATCACTCTTATCGACTTATTCTTCAATGCTACATCACTTCGTGTCTCTGACTGACGTCTCACTCACATTGAAGAATCCTTCATACATTCATTCATTTATCTATTCCCAGACTTCTACTCTTCAAGGTTGTCACTCTCACAAACCTTAAAGACTCAGCGTGAGATTTCCAAACCTGGCCGACTCTTCTTACCTGCAAAGTGTTGAGAGTGAACCGACTCGGCGAGGTTTTCATCTGACGTGATCTTGCCGATTCTGTCTGATCCCTGCGTGAGACAACAACAAAGCAGCCGAGAGACGGAGCAGTGAGTGAACTGAGATTCTTCAGAAACTACTCTCACAAATGATGAGCCGAGTTCAGGTTATTAAAGCCGAGACTATAAAGAATGAACTCTACAGATGCAGCGCTGAAACTGGGGGAGCCCTGAAGCTTGTTTCAATCAGTGTCAGTGTGCGTCTCAGTGAAAAGAAATAACAAAGCGTACCTTCTCCATGTCGTCCCGGCTGATGACGTCGCTCTGCTGACTGAACATCGGTTTGGAGGTCTTGCAGTCGAACGACAGCCGGCGCTGCGGGACGCTGATCATCTCCTTCCCGTCCACTCTGCCATTCAAAACACATGTTTTCATTAAAGCACAGAAAGAAAGAAAGAAAGAAAGTTTCAGCTGTCACGTTGAACCAGATCTACTTCCACATCGACCGTGCAGCTCAGAGGGGGCTTAAAGAGACAGGAGCTGAAATGAAGCGTTTCAGGCAGAGGCTGAAATGAAGGATTTTACTGACGTGAGTATCAGATAAATAAGGAGGTTTTTGAGATTCACATCTCACAACGCTGCTCAACAGACTGACATGAGTCATGGTGAAAATGAGTTTAAAAGGTCTGCTTTAAGTCTCTCTCTCTCTGTCTAATAGCTCAGAGGAAATGTGGGTGTTATCCTGGACTGCACATGAAATCAACAACTTCTTCTGCTTTATCCTTCGCTTGACTCAGTGAAGTCATGTCAAAGTAAGACCTTGGCAGGCGTCTGCAGGCACGTCTTTCCAGCAGATTAGATTACTGCAGCGGTCTGTTCTCAGGGCTCTCAAAACAAGCTGCTCGGGTAAATTCAAGGTAATCAAAAAGCAGCTGCGAGAGACCCGACAAAAACATGGAGATATGACCACATGACTCATCTTCTAAAATCCCTTTTTTCAATTAAAAAATGTCTCTGCTTGTGTCAAAGTTTCTCTCTGGCTCGGCACCCAAAGACAACTCGGACATGTTTGAGCTAAAAGTGTTTCTTTTGATCTTTCCTTCTGTTCCCTCTAACGGCTGCAGACTGGATCTAAACTTTACAAAACAAATTAACTCTTAGACTTTTGCTATTTTCATAAAAGTAACTGAATTAAAAAATCTTTTACTCTCGCTCTTTTAAATTCTACATCTGTGTCATCGTCGCCTCAATGTATGAAGCTGCACGTCTTGTCACTAGAAGAAGACATCCTCGGATAAAAAGGCTTAAAAGTGAGAACAATGGCAGAGTAAACGGATGACTTGCAGAGTTTTTTTTTTTTATCTAAAGACATTCTTCAGGTTGTGAGTCACAGGCTAATCTACACTCACATTCATTATGTGCTCTGCCGTTTGGAGACGTTCGGCTCAGAGAGATACGAGGGGACTGGAGATCACACTGAACAAAGCAGCAGGAACTTTATTAAGATAGCAGTTTAAAAAAATGTGAGCGTGAAGTACAAATTATGAGGAGAGGTTAAAGTTGGACATGCTGATGTTGGATTGCAAAGTGAAGTTTTCACACTACTTTATGGTGTTTTTAAGGGTTTTGGCATGAGACTAAGTGTATATATAATGAACATATTTAATTAATCATGTAAAACATATGGCTTAATTATCTGTATGGTGGAGTTTTATCCGATACGCTGACGACCTACAAGAGAGTCAAATAAAACTCAAACACCGGCTGCCTTTAATTCAACAATTTTAAACTCTAACTCTGCACTGTAACTTTTAACTGTTTTTATATTTTTACTTCAATTAAATTCATTTGAATTATTTTTTTTAAAATGTTTTCAGATTTAATAATTTCAGTGATTTTTACATTTTCTATTTTAATGTTTCTTTTCTTTCCTCTGTCATGATGCTTCTTGATGTCTTGTGTGAAGCACTTTGAAATGTGCTATATAAATAAACTTGCCTTGCCTTACATTAATAGTTGAGTGCAGAAGTGTCCCCACTCTTTTCATTTTCAGTGTCCTTAATGGTTTAAATATGTCCCCTTGTTTTTGCACAGGCGAGTCAAAGACAGTTTTCTCTTATGCATGCAAAAAGAAAGTAGGCAAAGTTTATTCTATTCTATATTTAAAATGTGAAACTCTTTGATATTCTAGCTGCACTTATCCTCGCTGAGTGCTCACCTGTTCAGCAGCTGCTGCATGAAGTTATCGGAGCGCGCTCCTCTGTACATGACGGCCAGCTGCCCCTGAGACGGGTCCATCACCACCTCGCAGGAGTGACCTCTGCCCGACCTCTCCACGTATGCCCGCTCCTCCTCCAGGGCCCTCCTCAGCCCCTCCGCCTTCTCCATCAGCGTGGAGATGTTCAGACCCTCCACGCCCTCTTTGCACCGGGTGGCCATCTTCACCGAGTCCCTGCCCACCGACGGGATGTTGATCTTCCACTCCTTCTTCTCGTCCTTCGACTTGCCGGCGTCCGCCTTGCGGCTCAGCGCGGGCAGCTTGCTCTTCTTCAGCCCGAACCAGCTCGCGATGCCGTTGGAGGCTTTCTGCTTCACCTCGCCGCTCTGCACGCCTCGGTCCTGCTCCTGCAGCTTCAGCATGTTCTCCTCGATGCCCTTCATCACTTTCTGCTCGATGGCCGACTGCGGGCTCGGCGCCGGGGGCGGCTTCTCCGCCTCGGACGGAGGTCTGGGAGGAGGCGGCGGCAGGCTGTCTCCGTACATCGGATTCTTCTTCCCTTTCCCGCTGATCTTCGTCCGCTCTTCGGATTTGGACGAGTACCGCGGAGCCTCCGTCGGCTTCCCCGCCCTGTGGACGGACGTCGGCTGGCACGGCTTGGACGGCGACTTCGGGGGGATTTTGTTGGGGCTGTTGCTACTGTGAGGACCCGCTTTGAGGTTGTAGGCCAGATTGAGAGAACCGGGACATTTGATGTTGTTGCGCAGAACCTGCGGAGCGTCTGCGTTCGGCGACGGCAGACCGATTTTACTCTTGGACGCTTCTATCTTTGTCACGCACAGTTCTTGTTTCGGCTGAGACTTCACCGCCTGCTCGTACATCTGAGGGTACTTCAAACCAACGCTGGCAACTTTTGGTTTGCTGTCCAGAGAGTCTGCGTACTTTGAATGTCTCTGCTCCTCCATCGGCCTCTCCGCTATCTTACTCCTCTCCTCCGCGTACGAGCCCTCGTTCACATTCTCCACCGGCCTGAGACCGACCTGCAAATCCTCGGAGCTCCTCAGTTTCCCCAGCGCCGCCAGTCTGTCTTTAAACGCGTGGTGACTGGAATCGGCCTGGGACCTCCCTGCGCCGGACGTCGGCCTCTTGGGGATGGAAGAAGAGTCGCTCCTCCTGACTGGAGGTGGAGGCGGAGCTTGCGGCTGGACGACCTCGGAGCTCTGCGCGGCGATGTCGACCTCCTGTCTCTCTCGCGGTTGGGAGTAGCTGGCTCGGCTCTGAGCCTTCCCGAGGGCGGACGAGCTGGGCAGGCTGTGGTGGTTCACCCACACCGGGCTGTCCGAGTCCTCCTCCTCGTCCGACGTGGAATCGGACGCGGTCGAGGACGACTGCTTCCTCTGGGGACTTGGGATGAGGACGCTCTCCGGCAGCGATTTCACAAGCTTCCTCTCGCCGCCGCCGTTCGCCTTCGCTTGGGAGGGAAGCGTGGTCCTCTTCTCGAGGCTCGGCGCCGGCTCCTCCTCTCTGGATATGTTACAGACGTTTTCATAATGAGGAATCCTCTGAGAGACTTTGGGGGAGGAGGAGGAGGAGGAGGGGGCGGCCATCTTTGAGCCAGCTTTAGGCGGCGAGACGCTGCTGTAGCTTGTGTCTTTGACGGGTTGGGCGCAGACGTCTTCGGGCTGCGGCGGGGAGGTCGGGGCCGAGTGCGTGGCGGGGTAAGACTCAGACCTGCAGGGCGGGGGAGGGGGCTGCCTGCACCTCTCCGTGGTCGTGGCTCTGCGCGTGGGGACGGGCGAGTGGTACACCTCGTAGTTGTTGGTGCGACACGGGATCCGGGAGCTGCGCGTGAGCTGGGGGCTCAGGTGGACGGCGGCGGCGGAGGTCGCGGCCTGAGACTTCTCGCCGATCGAGGGGATCTTCAGGAACTTGAGCAGCTTGGACGGCGAGTTGATGGCGGCGGCTTTGACGTCGCTGAGGCAGGACGGGCTGGGGCTGACGGAGGCGCCCGCTCTCACGGACGGAGCCTCCTGATGATCGGGGACGTCCTTCTCGGGGATGGCCGAGGGGTCGTCGAGCGAGGAGGCCACGCCGTTTTGAACGCCGTCGCTCGCTTCTGCGTCACAGTGGGAGATCTGCTCGCTGTCCTTCACAGGAGTGAAACCAGTGAGCTCTACGGAGACGTTTAGAAAACTCTCAGGTTCCTCCTGCTCCTCCATCCGCTCTGGGATCTGATCCGAGGGGACGGAGGGATGGGCGGCGGCGGCGCCGCCTGCTGGTTGCTGGTGGGCTTGATTCTTTGTGCATTGTTTAGACGAGGGAGCGGCCTCCACCGTTCTGCTCTTAATGTGACATTCGCTTGTAGCAGCTGCGGGGGCGAGGCGACTCTGGGGGGCGGAGTTTGCTTTAGGAGGACTACAGACTTGGTTGCATGTCTTCGGGGGACTCTCTGGGCTCCTCTTGCAGTGTAAACAGCAGGTGTTCCCGCCCTCGCACTTCACCGCCCCGCCGTCGCCGTTGACATGTTGGTGTGCTTCGGTGTCCGTGCGCGAGCAGTGACAGTGCGTGTGGTGCGTCTGCAGGGGGAGGGGCTCTGCGGCGGCCAAAACGGCCTCAGTGGACATGAGCACCTGGCTGTAGTCGCAGAACGACAGGCTCGTGGTGGACGGGTGGAACTTGAGAGGGTCCGTCTCCTCCATCTTACGGAGGACCTCCAGGATGTGTGCTTTCTTCTTGAAAAAGGGGGACAGCGCCTCCATGGAGGCCGCGGGGCCGCGAGGGCCCGGAGAGGCGTGCTGTGTGCGGTAGCCGTTTCCCTTTTGGACACAAATAGATCTCCAGTCAGTAAACAAGTCATTTCTAAGAGCCAAACAATTCAGATCATAAAGACCTTTTAGAGTGTGTGCGTACAGGAAGTGCGGGAACAGTAGATTCGCTTTTTATAGCACAATAGTTTAATACAGAGCAAATGTCAGAGCTCCCTTTAAACACACAATCCTCTTTCAGCCTTTGTCCCAACAAAGTCCAAAACACAACAACAAGGACTTTATATTTCTGCACAAACCATAAATGTTTTTGTTCAGTCAAAGTAGTTTTAGTGCCTGAACATGAGACAACTATTACACAGTTTGGCAGGAGACAGAGACGACCCCTGCTAATTATTGATTAGGTTTAGGTTTTAAGATTATGGTTTGGATTAGTATTTACATCCTTTCTACACTGATGTGAGATCACAGACCTTCTCTATGGTGGTAAAAAATTAATCGACTTTATTTGGTCAACCTTAATGTGAATAAATGCTAGAAATTTTTAAATTTCCATGACGAGTAATGCCATCATCGAACATTTAATTAGACTGCTTGATTCTTGATGTTTTCTTCTTGTCCAAATACAAATGTCACATCGGACTCTGGTGCTCACTTGACATCTTGCCAGAGGAGATCAGACTTGCAGATTCAGTCCCTTGTTTTACATCCCTACTCAACACATTCTTTTATAAAAATGCTTTTACTCTGTGATTTTGGTAATTGTTCTTATTTTTATTTTATTAGTTTTATTTTGTTGTCTGCTTGTTTACTCTCTGCCTGTTGCTTTAATTGTCTCTCCGCTTTTATTTTCTGTTGTAAAGCACTTTGTTACTTGTATAGAAAAGTGCTATACATATAAAGTATTATTATTATTATTATTATTATTATTATTATTATCTTGGGGTGTGAACGAACAATCGATATTTTCTAGACATTTCCAGGAGTGCATGTGGAGGAAAATAGTTATAACTAACAGGGAAGTCTCAGTTGCTGCTTAAAATAAACGCTGTGAAACAAAGCTCACAAACAAATAGAAGTTAAAGTTATAATGCAGGAGGTGTCCTATGAGTTTAATCTCAGGTTTCAGGGAAATATTTTATTAATAAACCACTTTATGGGCTGTAGTTCTGCTGGATTAACCAAAAAGAAACATGATGAAATGAGAACGCGCTCTCTGATGCAGGAAGGAAGGGACCACTTTAGGTTTTTAATGAGTCCTGTCACAAACAGGCGGGTGGGGGGGGGGGGGGGGGGATGTAGTCTTGTTCAGAGGCTCTGATATAATCCCGCTGTTCCCCTCTTGATGTTGGAGTATAAAGCTCTGCAGTGTGTCCTCTGTAATAATCACCTTGGCTTGTGCTTCAGTCTGTGCAGGCTCCACCTGTTTGGCAGAGTCATTGTGCAGCTGTGCATTGTAGTCTGGGAGGGGTCCCGCCTGGACCTGTAACGGGAGAGTCATGAGGCAATTACGAGGACGCTGTACACACTGCAGGCTATTATATACACAGATGACTAGAGATACATTGTTCTGGCATCTGCTGGACACAACAAAAGAGCAGAGGGAAAGACTGAGCTTCTCTACTGACTCACCACAGTTTGAAAGAATGAGGCTGACGTGAATCAGATCCGTGCACTGAGGACATGTCGTTATTTTTAGGGAGTATTTCTATTTTATACCATGCTGCTCAATCGTCTTCCTTAGTTAAAACCTGCTGATTACCCACAATGCAACTCTTCTACACAGTACATACAAATGTGTTTGTTTGTTATGCTGGTAGCAGCTAATGTAGCCTTAACGGTTTAACCCTAACCCCTTAAAAACCTGCTGACTACATTACCCACAATGCAACTCTTCTACACAGTACATACATGTGTGTTTGTGTGTTATGCTTGTAGAAACTAATGTAGCAGAGATGAAACCATCTGCATCTTTTATAATTCAGTACCTCCGTTTATTCATTTTGAAACTTGTACTCATCCTCAAATGTCCCTGACTTGAGTGATGTCACTTGAGGCACTTTTAAGCACCTGGAGCCTTAAGAGGCTTTTCAAAACGTAACACAAATTCTCCTTGTGAGTAACATTTGAATGCAGGACTTTTACTTCCAGTGAAGAACGTTTACATCGTGTTTTAAATGAAGACTTTAAAGACACCAGCAGGAGAACGTCACAGAGGAAGATGGACTGGTTTACCTGGTAGTGGGCTGTGGGGTGGTTGGGCAGTTTCTGTTGGAAAAGCTCACAAAGCGCTCGGTTCTGTCTCTCCAGATCAAACACCAACATCTTCAGCTTGATGCACTCCTCTCTCAGATCCTGCACAGTGACAACACCAGAACACATCAGTCTACATGTATGACACCACAGACTGATCCAAACACAGCTGCAGACTTTAGCTACACGTTACCTTCTGATTCAGCAGAGCCTGGACCACGTGGTTGGCCACCTAATAACACAAGAGGATGTTCAATTTAACACAGAGTACTTTGCTGAGAAGTTAAGAAATGTACGTGTTTTCTACAACGTGATCTCACCTCATCCAAACATCTCTCATAAGCTTCTCTCTGACTCTCATTTGCCAACATTAGAGCCGAGTTTTCTGCCTGTGAAGAAACAACATGAACGTTATTAATGTCATAACTATGAACTAAGAAAACAAAGATTTTTAAGACATTATAAAAACACCTGTCCAAATGGTCTCGCATTCTTGTATCTTTTAAGATCGAGTGAAAGGCTTCAAGTGAAATGAGATCCTCCAGTTTTAAAGATTTTCCCTGCAGCACAAACTTTTCTTTTTTAATTCTGATTTTTAAATGTGTGAACGGCCTCGCTCCAGAAACAATCCGTCAGCTAGAGAGCAAACCGAACAGCGTAATCAGAATAAAGGGGCGACATCAGGTGGAAACTGTAGAGTAACCAAAACACAGAACTACATGTGGTCAGTCATACTGGCAGCAGAATTAAACGCTCTTTTCCTGAGCTCATTGCGAACATGAGGAACAGAGAGTTTAAAAACATCACAGGAACCCAAGGCGTAGTGGCTTCTGGTTCTTTGGAGGTTTGAACATAAATAAGAAGGAACTAAACCAAGAAGAGCTTTAAATATGAGACTCAGTCAGTGTACACACCTGTGCACCTTCAAGGACGGCCTTTTACAGGTCACAGTGATGAGTAACAAATCTCAACAAACATGACTGTAAACATTTGGCCGAGGCGCCCAGATACAGCACATCTCCATAATCCAACAAAGAAAGAAAAGTTGATGAAACAAGAAGTTTCCTCGCTCTGAGGGAAAAGCAGGATTTATTCTCCATAATAAAAGTCTTAACTTCACCTCGAGTTAAGAGGCCAATTTGGCGATCTGTGCTTTAAAAGACAGCTCACAGTCAATAAGAAAAAACAGAGTTCTTTAACTTGGTTTGTCCCTGAAGGCTGATTGGTTTTGGAGCAAGGTATTAAAAAAGACAAAAGACAAAATCCATGAAGAAAGCTAACGAAGTAAAAAGAGGTAAGAGGCACTGAATGAGATTCCATTACCAACGGAATAAAGTGCTGAGTCAACAAGAATACAACCAGGTCACTGTTAAAGGCAGAATATGCAATATTATTTGATCCAGTAGATGTCGCCCTTGAGCACCAGCATGAAACCAAAACAACTTGCGGTGCATTGTTGTGTTAGCATGCTAATGCTAGCGATCTTTATTATGCTGGTATCTTCACACTGCATGTAAATTTACCTGAAATGAGCGTGATCTAGAAACACAGTTAAGCAGTGAGTACAGTATGTTATTCTTCTTTTCTCTAGTCCCTCAATTAAACAACTTTTATATACGAGGGGAGGAGTCAGCCGGCCGTCCGGGCGATGTAAACAAACTGAAGATAGGACTCGGAAAGCAGTTATTTTCAGAGGATATACTTGATTTCTGCTACATTTAAGTGTGAAAAATCACCTTTAAATATTCACCACTAGTCATAAAAGTCACAAGTGCACGTTTTAGACAGTCAAATACATACCATATAAAACCACAATATTTATTTCTATGACTTTTTTAAACTTCTCAAACAGGTTGTTGTCACCTTTAGGGAAGTGTGTGCTGGATGAGTATTTACTGGAAGAATGTGAGTATTTCATTAATACCACGTCTTATGTCTGCTGGCTTTTATACAGGAGAGGATTTAAACCCTAATGGAAGGATTATGTGTCTAAAATAAAACAAATCATCTTATTTCCTAACTTTTTCCTTGTTCTGAATGAGCGTTTGTTCGTTCACTCACCTCCAGCTCTCGCAGTCGGTCCACGAGCTCGCTGCTGTTGTCCTCCAGGTACGACTCCACGTCTGCCTCCTCGCCCTCCTCGTCCGTACCGAAGTCCTCCTCACACATTCTCTGTTCTGTCTCATCAGACATTGTTCTCATCTGAAACACGGGAGGAGACACGGCAGAGTTTAACTGCTAAACCTCTTCAGTAAATCAGTGTTAATGAGAGATTTTCCCTTCGTGACATCACAAAGGGCAGTAGCCCCTCCCCCAGGTGGGTGACACTCCCAGAGCTAGGTGTTTGTTCTGCCCTCTGAGTCTGAGTCTCACCGTAAACAATAGGACATGGAGCGAGAAAGCCAGAGACCACCCAAGCCCTTCCAGAGAGGGGGCGTGGTCATATACAGCTCATTTACATATTTAAAGGTACAGACACAGAAACAGCCTGTTCTGAGCAGGGCTGAAATAGAGGGGTTTATAGACATGATCAAATACAGGATCAGAGTGGATTTAGAACAAGAAACTTCACACACATGTTTTGAGGAGCTCTGAGACTTATTTAAACTGGATGAAAAGGAGGATCATATGTGACCTTGAAAATCACAGCGTACGTTCAGAATTGTTTTCAGTTCCATATAAATGCACCTCAAATTTGTATTCAAAATAATACAGTTTTTCAATTAAATCTTTACACTCACTGAGCCTCTGTCTATCAAACATGTTTAAAAATGTTAAAGACGTTTTTTTATCCACAACCTTCTCCTTTAATCAAAACAGTAGTTCCCCCGTTGTGTTGCCTGCGAGTTAAACTCAGGGCACAGGTAACTCGCGCTCGTAAAGCTCTTTGCTTTCGGACAGACAGTAACACCTGAAGGCGACTCAGGTAAATGGATCAACATTTGAATTAACTCTCGGAGCTCGTGTTATGTAGATGATGTCACGTCCAGGTCGGCTGCACAGTAAGAGCACCGCCGCGTTCAGAGGGATTATTACACCAACTGTTTCTGTGAGTGGTTTGTTTCTGTTTGTTTAAATGAGAGAGAGACTGAAGACTCTCAGGACGCCTTGTATCCTGTTCTCCAACTTCTTATTTTATTCTTTGTATCCATGTAGTTTGATTTTAAACTCCACTAATCCAAAAAAGGGTCATTAACAGGAACTTAAAATAGAGTTAGAACCCAAAATAAATCCTCAGCTTGTGAACCAAAACATTAAGACAAGAACATCTAAAGGTCAAGCTAAAGCAACATTTTAAACTTGTGAATTTACTCCTCATTTAGCCAAACATTTGTCAGATAAATCTTCTTTTTCCCAGAGTCCACAGTCACATTTTTTAAAGTCTTGTGTCCTCCTGACCCTAATCCTCCTAACTCTAAAAAATCTGAATCTAATTCATTAGCAGTTTTCAACTGCTCTGCTAGCAGTTCTCGCTTTAGAAGGAAACCTTTAAACCTTTAACGTATTTACATCATGAACGACTTAATTAACGATCAGAACGATCAGTCTGCCTGAACTCCGCCCGTCTGCTTCTCACAGAAAGACTAAAACAAACACTGATGACGTTAACATTATTATAGTCTGTTTATCTGACCTCCACAACACACACACACACACACACACACACACACACACACATACACACACTACACATCACCTACTGTATATGGAGGTTTACGGGGTAAACAGTCCAATCCGTTCACCCTGCATTGTTTCAGATATGTGGACTGCATCAGGAGATAAGCCTTTGTGTCCATATTCTCTCAGGTTTAAACACGAACGGATCCACAGATCAAACAGCAGCGCCACGCAGAGCGCACAAGCTGCCCGAGTCTGTGAGCACGCCACCCTGCAGGACAAATGGCCCACAACCAGTCTAGTAGGCAAGGCTCCAGGTGTGTGTGTGTGTGTGTGTGTGTAAGTATGTGTGTGTTGAAGTGGACCCAGATCCAACTGTCACATCTTAAGGAGTCATTAGAGCGGATGAGACGAGGCCGATTCTGTGGCTGCTGGCCAATCAGGGACTGGCACAGTTTTACAGGTGTCCTGACGAGAACAGGTGACGCACACAAACAAACAACAGTTCAAACGTTCTCCTCGGGGACAAAACAGTCGCGTAAATTTGTGTTCAGAGTATCGACACCTGGCGTCACAGCATGTTGCTCGCCGAGATGTCAGAGTGGTGCTGCTGTACACTGATACTCACGGAGCGAGCCAGAGCTGTTGGGTGGGTTCGATGCCTTGCTCAACGACACCTCAGCGGTACTCGGGAAGCGCCCCGGCACCTCTCCAGCTACCAGACCAACTTCCAGATTTTGAGCTGCTTCCCAACCCAAGTCCTACAGACTGCCGCTACTGCCGCCTAAATATGTGTAATGTGATGATATTGATCAGTGTTGCCATGACGATATGAGGAGCAAAACAAAAAAAACTAGGTTGGAGATTGTCCACAACCTCACAAATCAATTCGATTTCAATTCTTTGGGTCATGATTCGATTCGATTCGATATGGATTTAATAAAACGCATAGATGACAGAAATAACCAGATAATTAATCACAGTACCTTCTGATATTAGTTAAATAATTATCTGTGAATTGTTTGTATTGGTTTAAACTGACTCAAAAAATGTGTTTTATCGTTGCATTATTCTTTAATAAACAAAGAATAAAACCTTAAATTACAGTATGCGGAAGTATGGCAGCACCCACAGCGCCCCCACTGGAGTGGGGTGTCATTACACCGGAAATAATCGATCCTATGATTTCCCTGAATCGAAATTGAATTGGGGGAAAAAAATCATGGCATGGCATTGTCGAATCGATATTTTTATCCAGGCCTACTAAACACGTACACACCCTACATTAGCTCTAACTCATGGTTTTTAAATTGGCACCGATTCACCTGACAGCTAGCTTAACGAGCTCCATCCATTACACTCAGGCCTCCATTCAAAGGATCAGATGTACATGAAGAGTGTGAAAGTGACTCTTGTTCACATTCAATAGTTTGTATTTCTATAATGCGATAAACTGAGTGTTAGCGTGTTTATAGCAAAAGCTTAAAGTCACGCTAACAGTGAATAGTGATGAATTATCAAGCTCTAATGTACAGTTTATATCTGTGCACGTACACTAAGTAAAGACACTCTCTGATCAGCGTTTGAAAGCTTCCAACAGTTTCAAAAGAATTCAGCAGAGAGCTGGGCCGGGCTTTGTGTAACCGGAGCCGTTTGTGAAGCGTTTACAGGAAGATTATCGAGCGCCGCACGCTGCTGAATCCCAAATGTGGAGGAGCTTATTGAGCTGCGATTGACTGAACGCACACAGACGTACACGTATAATGGAGGACTGATCAATGCAGGAAGCAGATATTAGCCATCCATTTGACCTTGGATACGGGAGTGGTTATAAATACCAGCTCCTCTCCTCCTCTCTAATGCACATTAAAGCTCCGGGGCAGCGGCGCAGAGGAACAGGCACACGTCCCTTCTGCGTTTGCACTCTGATGGAAATTACAGCGTGGACTAAAAGACAACAAAAAGTGAGGCTAAATATAACAGGAGAATGTGGTTCTGCCACCACTGCTGCTGCTGCTGCTGCTGCTGCGGTTTCTTTTGATGTGCAGAGTTAATGTCACAAGCTGCCTGCTGAAAATGCCAGCAGTAAAATAAAACGTTCATCCAGGATCCAACAGGAGTTCACGTCTAAAACAAGAGCTGATCAACTGATGACGGGGCATGAAGAGGTCCATTATTTATCACCAAACACTCCTTCAGATGTCTGCGGCGCCTTCCTGAGTGTCAGACGATTGATTTTTAAATACTGCTGCTGTTGGTTTATGAAACGCTGAGACGTTTATGGCCACAGCGCTGCAGATGCAAAAATAAAGATTTTTAAGTCATTGATCCAGGATCTCCCGGAAGGAGATTTTAGTTTTTAGGGTCACGGAGTGTTGAGACCTCTTTTTTGAAGGTCTCGTCTCGTCTCGGTCTCAGACTGGGCAGACTCCACATTTTAAATAAAGACCGGTCAAGACCATCACTACTGTATGTCCACATCATTACTGAGATCAGAAGGAAAACTCCTTCTACTTCATTGCTTTGTATCCCACGGTTACGGCCGCAAACCTCCCGGTGTTACGATTTAAGAGAGTGACAAGATGATGATTTTTCTGAGATATTTATGGTCTCGGTCTCGCCCTGCCTTGGTCTTGGTCTTGACTCGATCTCGATCCCTATATGTCTCGGTCTTGTCTCTTGGAGAACTCTGGTCTTGGTCTTGTCTTGGTCTGGGAGCAATCAGGTCTTGGTCTTGTCTTGGTCTCGGAGCACTCTGGTCTTGGTCTTGACTCGGTCTCGATCCCTATATGTCTCGGTCTTGTCTCTTGGAGAACTCTGGTCTTGGTCTTGGTCTTGTCTTGGTCTGGGAGCACTCTGGTCTTGGTCTTGTCTTGGTCTGGGAGCACTCTGGTCTTGGTCTTGGTCTTGTCTTGGTCTGGGAGCACTCTGGTCTTGGTCTTGGTCTTGTCTTGGTCTGGGAGCACTCTGGTCTTGGTCTTGTCTTGGTCTTGGAGCACTCTGGTCTTGGTCTTGACTCGTTCTTGGAGCACTCGGGTCTTGGTCTTGTCTTGGTCTTGGAGCACTCTGGTCTTGGTCTTGGTCTTGTCTTGGTCTGGGAGCACTCTGGTCTTGGTCTTGGTCTTGTCTTGGTCTGGGAGCACTCTGGTCTTGGTCTTGTCTTGGTCTTGGAGCACTCTGGTCTTGGTCTTGACTCGTTCTTGGAGCACTCGGGTCTTGGTCTTGACTCGTTCTTGGAGCACTCAGGTCTTGGTCTTGGTTAATGTGGTCTTGACTACAACACTAGGGTCTTGTTTTGTGAAAAAGAAACATATTCAGAAAACTATGACCTAACGTGACACAGCAGCCAATCCGGTGAAGAAGCTTCAACCAGAGAGTGATCGGAGGCCTCGCTGTGAAAATGTAAACTTTAAAGATTTATTGATGATCATCCTTTCTGACTTTTGATCCGCTGCTCTATCGCGATGTGAACAAAGCTCTAAGATCATCAGCAGGGTCGGGTCTGATGACTGTCCCCGAACATGGGGGAGAAAAGTTTAATTATAAAAGCGATTATTTTTCTGTCAAATAAAAAAGAAAGGAACAAAGAAAAACGTCAAATCAGACAAATGTTTGGAGCTCTAATCTAAATATGTTTTTCTAATATCGTCTTGTTTTTCTAGTCTAAATGTCTTTTTTTTAATGTCTGACTTACAGAAGGTCAAAGTGACTTCACAGTGAGCTCTGCTTTTACAGATTAACTTATTGTGTCTTTAAGTTTGAATGTACAGAGAGAGGGGAAGAGACAGACACGGGGGGGGCTGCTGGCTCTTTTGTAAGCTGCATCATTGTCGTCTTGTTGGTGGTTTTGCAGCCTTTAACTGAGCACACAGAGGTTCATTGAGGGGGCAGAGGACAGGGTCAGTGTGTCTCAGCGGGCCTGCAGTGCCAGGGAGCTCCTTCCACGGAGCTCGGGCTGGCAGACTTTCAGCCGCTCGAGCGCCACAGAGAAAAACCCCCCAGAGACACGCAGGGAGGCATACTGGAGCCGCTCTGAACACGGCAGCGCTGAGTGGTGGAGGGCGGGGTCTCCATGGAGGTAGAAAGTACTGAAACCACAGGCTAGAAACACGCCATCTTAACACAAAAACATGCACTGAAAAGGCTTTTTTTTTCATTATACTATTTGAAGTTGAGCCAAGAAAGTTTATGGTTGTTGTGCATTTTCTCTGTTTGTCTGCAGGATTATGGAAAACTAAACGTCCTGTTTTTAAACGTGGTGGAAACGTATAGCTCAGGCCAAGGAAGGACCAATTAAACCTGGGATCAGATCCATATCCGACTCAGGAAAAAAGCAATAAAAATATTGACCAAGTAGTTACAGTGATGTCTAAATAATCTCTGATCCCTCTTAAAAACATGTTTTTCACTGAGACTGTTTTTGATCACAAGCTGAAATGTTCACTATTGAAAAATAGTGTATAATGTAACTATCATGTTTGTTCTGCAGTATATTTGAATCCTCATAACAAAAGGAGTCTTTGTTTTGTGCGTGTGACTCTAAAGTAAGATTTATGGCTCAGTGAGTAGGAGACAGGAGACTGTAAGTGATAACATAAAGAGAAACACCAGAGGAGAAGCTAACAGATAGGAGCAGAGGTCAAAGCCAGCTCTGATTTTCTTGTTTTGTTTGGCTAAATCCAGCCGTCTTAGAAACACACACAGCCACTAAACGCGACATTGCCAAGTGTAAACAAAGTGCAGCGAGGCTCAGCCCTTCAAATCAGAGAACAAAACACAGAGGATCATGTGTTGGCCTCGGAGCCAGCAGAGCATGTGGAGCTTTTTTGTTCGGGCCTGAAGCGACTCAAACGGATACCTGAACATGAAGAATGTGAGCTGAGGAGGGACACTGCTGAGCATTCATCACAAACAAATAAAAAGTGCAACAGGACACCAGTGGGGGGGAAACTCAACGTGTCATCTACTGTAAATATGGTGTCATGGTGTCCTTCTAAACAAATTAACCCAGCAGCGACTTCTGGAAAAGGTCAGATTCACTTTTTCATGGGTGTGACAGCACGAAGAGAAGAAAAAGCTCAAACAATAAACAAAGCACAAACAAACAAGAAGGTGCCATCCAGATGTGAGACGAACATCAGCTCTTCTGGACTTAATCCTCAGTCCCAAACCCAAAAACAGAAAGAAACATGGACGACTTCAATGGAAGAACAACAATCACAAGAACAACTTTAATGAAGGAAGTCGCTCTGATCCGTCATCAGGAGTTAAATCCAACATGGCTGCTATGTATCAACACTAACTTTTTAGCTAACTACTAGCAACGTAGTCCTCTTTTTGTGTAATCAAATCAATCACACCGATAGTATCCTATCACACAGTGTGTTGTTATCGCCAGGCAGGGTTGGAAATTAACGTTTTTCGCCTACCTGCCACTGTGAGCGGGGGATTCAAAAATCTACCAGTCACTCGTTTTTTTTAAATCTGCCGCTTTATTTGGAGATGCTAATCCATGTGGTGCTCGACTGAAGAGACCCTAAAGCACTTTGAGCACATAGACTATCACTGTGTAGGTTCTCCGTCTCGTAGCCTATCAGCGTACACCCTGACATGAGGAGGGACGGAGCCATGTGGGCGTCATTTAGGACTGACCGACTCGGCTGATGAAGTCAGTTTTTTTACCCGCCACTGTGACTCATTTCATTTCATTTCAAACCTTTATTAAATTTATTCTCGAAAAGACACTGAGGTTTCCCCTCATTTTCAACGCCGTCGAGATTACAAGCAAAAAAAACATCAAACACTCAGAATCTGTGACAAAAACCTCTGAGATCATTTAAAACCAGTTACTAAATCAAATTCTAAACTCTGGAAGAGAGGGAAGAACTCCGATCCTTAAGAGTTTGCTGGAGGGCGTTCCACGAGTTTGGGGCATCAAAAGAAAATGCAGATTTGTAGGTTGAGCAAATTCAGACCTGTCAATGTAAAAAAAACCAAAAAAAACAAAAAACACCTGTATATGGCGGGTGGCGGGTGATCTGAACTGCTGGCACGCTCGTGTATCTTGTCCGACTTGTTACCAACTCGTAATTGGAATGTGGTTAACTCGGGTGGGACTCCTCACAGCTCTGAGCTCTGAGAGCTACGGACTGAGCTACTGCCGCCCTAAATATGTGACGTGTGATGATATTGATCAGTGTTGATCGATTTCAATTCTTTGGGTCATGATAACTGCTCATGACTCCTCACAGCTCTGAGTTCAAAGGTTAGTTAACCACCCTAACATCAACGTTGGAGTTACTAAAGAAGTCGGCTTATTACATAATCAGTTGACTTGTGACCCTTCGCTTATCGATTCGATAAGAACGATAATGTGGGAGCGTTGGTGGTGCAGTGGTTAGTGTGCGTACAGAGGCTACGGTCCTCCAAGCGGGCGGCCCAGGTTCAAATCCGACCTGTGGCTTATTTCCCGCTCTCTCTCTCTCTCCCTGGTTTTCAACTCTATCCACCGTCATATCTCTCCAATACAAGCACAAAAATAAATCCCCCCAAAAAACTAAAATGTGGGCGTTAAATCTACGTATCACAGAAATGCCCGATGTTTAACCACATGAGCTTAGAGCACATGAAGGAAACCAGCGGAGTGAGACAACAGGAGGTCTCAGGTCACATCGTTTACTAACCCCGTTAGCGCACGTCGTTGTGATGACACCAGAGAAGATTAACCCGCTAATGACCAAAGAGGCGACTGGAGATTTGTGGAAGGGGAACATCACGGCTAACAACAGCTACAAGATTGTGCAGAACTTCTAAGTGTCTGTTACTACAGACTCGTGGAGGGTTACCATCACTTGTCTCTTCATTCAGAAGAACTGGGATTTAAAGACCGCAGACATCATAGCAGGCTGCCGGGGGTCTGAGTCAGATCTTTATTTACGGTAAAAATATGTATAATTAGCGAGTACTCGAGTATTCAAATTATTCTAAATGGCATTAACACCTTATTTTACAAACTTTTCATATTCTGGTTAATATACTTATTACTTTAAGGCACAGACACAAACATGTGACATAATGAAAAGACTGACCTGTGGTTTCAGCTCTCTTATGATCCTTGAAGAGGAGTCCGTCTCCTGTCAGGCACCTCTGTCTCCCAACAACAGCACCAGGGAGCTGAGGGAGAGACAAACACACAGGGACACATCTCAATAAATAAAACTCCTGCAGCAGCCTCCTCCTCCTCCTCCTCCCTCCTCCTCCTCCTCCTCCTTCTTCTCCCTCCACTCAGCTAACAAACCTCCTCACATCTCGGGGCCAAATCCTATTTGTGTCTCCAATCATAGGACAGAAAAGAAGATTTCAAGAAGTTGGACTGTGGGAGGTTTAGGAGCCGCTTGGTTTTGGTTTTTGGGTGGGTTTTTTTTTGTTTTTTTTCAACCAATGTCACCTCTGTGATGTTCTGCTGCTGCAGCGGGAGCGAAGGCTGCAGCTTTTGCTCGAATGTGCGAGTGAACAGGAAACCAGGGAGGAGAAGGAAGACGCTGCGCTGCCCTCGGGAGATACCAGCGCTCGGCAGACGCCACCCATGCCAAGACCACAAGCCCCCCCACCCCCACCCCCACTCCTCTATCTCGTCTTTCCTTTCATCTCTGAGTCATTGTTGTAAAGTGTAATGAAAGAAAGATGGATGAATAATTCAGCAGACACAGCGTTCAAGAACTCCCCCTTTTTAATGTCTTTCTGATAACGCAGGACTTTACACACACACATGGAAGCTTTGCAGTCCGATGCGGGTTTCCCCCCCATTAACAGAGCGCCCAGTTAATCATGTTCACTTTCTACCGGAGGTTTCATTAAAAGATCCAAAACGGGAACGCTGCCGTCTGTCTGCTCGCTGTAGATCTGTTTAGCTGCAGTGTTAACTCTTCATTTCCAAGAGCGTCGGTCCTGCAGGGGGCACGGGGCCTGATCCTTTTAGATCTTGTCAAACTGAAATGGGATTAGAGGTGTTGAGCATCTGCCCTCTCAATCTGGTTTTTAATAGAGCGGGGGCCGGGTGATCTGGTTGAGCTGCGTCCACCTAGTGTTGCACCTGAAGGAGCAGATTGTGGACTGTGATCCGATGTGCCAAGAATCAAAGATCACCAACACGGCACCAAAAAAAAAAAAAAAAAGAAGCAAAGTAAGGACAGGAAAAGTGTTTTGAGGAAGTGATGAAATATCGAGTGAAGCAGGTTTTTCTCAGAGGTTTTTCTGCAAGATGAGGTCGAGTGGATGAGATTGTTGGAATGAGGGCACAAAAAAAAAAAAAATCAAACGGCGACTCTGACATGATTTAAGAAGCTTTTGTGCCTTTCTTCTTCCCTTTCCTCTGTCGCACTCTTGGGGATTTGGCATTGGCGACGCCGTCTCAGGATATGTCAAACACCACCCTTTCCATCTGCCAATCTGGTGAGGCGCAGATTGAAGTTCTCGCTGTGTAGGCAGAGTGAGGAGGAGGCGGGAGATGTAAACAATGTGACAAAAAAACAAAAACCTAAATCCTCACATGGTGGAATTGAACCAGATTTTTTTTGGGGAGGAGTGAATCTTTTTTCCGACACCAAAAGAAGAATGTAGGCCAAAAAGTCTGATTTTTTTTTCTGCAGACGCACTGATACAGCGTGATTGTCTGCTTCATTAATAAAGATGCAGATAGATATCAAAGAAGGGGAGGGGGGGAGACAGAATCAGGCTGCCGGGCTCCCTCTGTGCTGTTTCCTGTCTGATGTTTGGCTGTACACACCGAGACGAATCGTACACAAGCAATATTTGGGATGAAGAGCGGAGAGAGAGGAGAGAGGAGGGGAGAGGTGGGGGAGGGGATGAAGGGGATGAAGGGGATGGAGGAGGAGGAGGGGAGCTCCTTTCTCCTTTCTCCAAAAAAAAAAGGGCCCTGAAAAGGTTGGATGTGCGCCATGTATGTCTGAGAGCAATCAAAGTGAACGCAGGGATGCTTCTTCAAAATCTGTGCCAGGCGACCTCCACACACACACACACACACACACACACACACACACACACCCCCCCCGGAGGAAGCGCATCACGGGTCCTCCTCCCCGTCTCTGATACAACCATAAACTGTGCTTTTGTTTTTAATCGCACGTTTTAACCACAAACATTTGAAGCTGCACAATCCTCCAACCACCCGCAGCAGTGTGCACGCTCGCTTGGCAGATTTATGACACATTGTTTGCTGCAACCAAAACAAAGCAGCCGGGATGCTGCTCTGCTAGCATGTAAGCTAGCCCTCAGAGCAAACCTAAAAACAAACGCAGGAAGCAAATCATACCTGCTTTTAGAGTCTTTTCATGTCGCCATTGAACCTCACCGTGCTGCGCTTCACATCGCTTATATCTCATCTCAGGAAAAATATTCTCCTTTGACAAGCGATCCTCATCCCAACAAGCAAACACGGCTAAAATGAAGCACATAAAACTCCACCTCTCTACCTTGAATCACCATTGAGGGTCTCTGCAGTCCCTTCATGTCACAAGTGATGCACCAAAAACACATTTATCTGCCGTTACTGTCACATTTCTTGTCTCAATCAAGTAAAACTAAAAAAAAACAGAATCATCGTCAGAGCAGGAAAACAAAACGTCATCTGTACAATTTACAGATTTACAAATCCCACTTCTTCCTCTGACTCACATGTCGGGGTCCTTACATGGTTATTTCATGTCCCATTAGATCTCACAAAACACTTTATTTGGTCACAAAGTCGACATCACAACAACCAAACACTTGGGGAAAACCCCAGAAAGCTCTACAGATGTACAGATCAGATTCACCATTCGACTCACATTTTGGGGTTTTCCATCGTCTAGTAATGTTACAATAGACTGATTAAACATGTTCCCCCGCTGTCTCAGCACTTACACGTCACACAGGCACTGATCTGCTTCATGTCAGCACAGATTCAGCCGTCACATGAAGCAAACAGAGACTCTTCATGTCACCTTTAAACCGAGCACAACGTCTCCTCTTCCTGTTGAAGAATTAAAAGCTCAAATAAGCGAAAAAGATAATGTCTGCTGTATAAATCAAGACCCCACTGACTCATGTTTTAGGGTCTTCTAAGTCCCCTCGATCATCACACATCATTTACATCTGGACCCCCTCCAAAACGAGATCCAGCAATACATTTACATCACCTCAAAGAAGTCCAAATCTTCTCTTATTTGGACACAAATTTGCCATCAAAACAAGAAGACGACGTTGGAAAATCACAGATCTTGTCAGCTGTAAAAGCGTATCCCTATTCAAGGATTTATAAATCCACAACATGCTCACGTTTCAGGGTCCCATACTTCTCAAAATGGAACTACACACAAGCAGGGGCCATTACTATCACAGTACATCACACAGGTCAAAATCAGCTTGATTATTATTATACATGTTTGGGCCTTTGTGTGTTTATTGTATCAGACAGCTGAAGAGAGACAGGAAATGTTAAGATGAGAGCGTGGGGGGGGGGGGATGAAGGATTCGAACCCACAGTTGCTGTAACAAGGACTGCAGCCTCTGTACATGGAGTGCTCAACATAACCACTAGGCTATCGGCGCTCCCTAAAAAACATCTGCTTTATTTTGACACAGAATCAGTGTGTAAAGATTTAGAAATTCCGCCCTTTGTGTTTATGTTTTGGGTTCTTCAAGAAGGCCTTCCTACCCCATTATTTACTCATATCATACAGCCGGTAACAATCTGATTTATTTCATCATGATCACGACGCGCAAACACAGCAAAAAACACTTCATCGATCAGAACGTACAGAACTACAAATCCAGACCTGCAAACAAACATTTCAGGGTCTTTTAAGTCTGTTCATGTCACAATAAAACCCCCTAAATAACACGTGCCCCCCCCCTCCTATTGTTCCATTACATCGATCTCAGGCAGGTAAACCGGTCTTTACCTGAACTGCCATCAGAACATGAAACACGATGAAGGAGTGAAGAAAACTCAAAGTGAGCTGTAGAAATGACTCAGTAAAAAACAGGTTTATGAATCTACAGCTAGTGACTCACGTTTCTGGATGTCTACGATCACGTCTCGTCGTAGTAGACGTCATAAAACATGTTCCCTCATCACTTCAACTTCTAATCTCACACGGGTTAAAACCGTCTTTAAATTTGACACAAAACAAGAAATCGTGACAGAAAAGAAAACAAGAAATCACCACGTCAGCTGTATATCTATCAGTATTTATAGGTTTGCATATATACCCCTCTTGTCTCATATTGTGGGGTCTTCAAAGCCCCCCCCCCCCAATTGTCACATCACTGACTTCAATAACAGGTAAAAAACAAGCTTTATTTTGCCACAGAAAAGGAAACACCGCAGAAAAAAGCCCAGAAAGCAACATGTCAGCTACAAAAAAACAATCAGAATTTAAAGATTGAGGAATTCTTCCCCCTCTGACTCACATTTTGGGGGTCTCTTCAGTCCATACATGTCACAATAGACCACCTAAAAACACACGTCCCCTCGCTGTCACATCTTTTAAATCTCATTAGAGTAAACATCTGCCTGATTTGGACACAGAATCGCCGCAACAACAAGCAAACACATGTGGAAAAGATCCAGAAAAGACCGCGTCAGCTGAATACATTTGACAATAAGTTGCAGGTTTATAAATCCCCCCCCCCCCCCAACCTTTGATTCCTACGTTAGGTCAGCTCACCTTTCTCCTGCTGCCTTTTCAGTCATTCAGTCAGCGCATCCGAGGTCTCCTCACAGCAGAGTGAAATGTAAAAGGCACCAAAAGGGAAGGAGAGAGAGGGAAAAAAACCAGGAGAGACAGAAAGGCCACAACCTTACATTTCTGTTTTCCGGTTGCGGAGGAGATTATTTCCCTCCCCATTCAAAGCAAGCCGTCAAACCTGCGAGTGTGACGGAGGAAGCCGGTTTCCTCTACGCTACACGGCTAGAAGAGAAGGCCCGTCCTTGGGCATGTGCATTGTGTGTGTGTGTGTGTGTGTGTGTGTGTGTGTGTGTGCTGTCTGCAGAGGCTGCCATGTCTCCCATTGTTCCAGGGCGAATGAGGCAGGCTTCCTATACCCCGATAGACCCTGCCTACTACAACAGCTGTGGACCAGCCCCCACCTCACTGCCACTCTCCTTCCTCCTCCCCCCCTCCTCCTCCTGCTACTGCTACTACTCCTGCCTCCTCTCTCTCTCTCTCTCTCTCTCTCTCTCTCTCTCTCTACTGCTGCTGCTGCTGCTAAACATTAACCCTGCAGCTGCCGGCTCAGGCCATAAAGAGGTGAAGAGCGAGGCGAGGGGAGGAGGGGGGCCCACCATGTAGCGGACAAAGGAAGGTATAAGAGAGACACACACAGAGAGGATATCCGACAGCACGGGGTGAACTGACAGGAGTTGTGCACAGAGACTTTCAGTCAGTGGCCTAGAAATAAAACAGGCTTCTGGTGCTAAGAGGATTGTCTTTCCTCAATCACAGCGGTAATAAGTTTCTAGACTGGAGCCTGTAAGACCGCGCTGAGGAAAAAGAAGAGTCGCTGGAAAGCAGATTTTCATCCAACTAACCATTTAATTTTTTATAATTGCTACTATCGATCAGTTCATTAAGTGCAAGAAATAGTGACAAAAGTGTTCGTGCTGTTGTCCAGTGTACAAATATGTGATCTACCAGGGCGCCAGTGGAGTAGTGGTTAGTGGGGAGTGGCCAACGCACAGAGGCTGTAGTCCTCTAGGCGGGCAGCCTGGATTTCTACAATTCACTTAGCAGACTCTTTTCTCCAAAGCGACGTACATCAGAGAGTAAGAACAACACAAGCAAGGATCTAGAAAAAAGGGAACAATGTGAGTAAGAGCAAACGATCAGCTTTGAGTCTGATTGGACACACAGGTGCTGACAGGAAGTGACCAGAGGCAAAGCACAACATTGAGGGCAGTTCTTGAGAGCTCTAATCAGTATAGAAACCATCTTATAAGTCGTCGTTATTAAACAAAAACCATCGTCATTACCATCATCATCATCAATAATATGGAGACCATCATCATTAAGTTAGTAGGTATTCATGAAAGAGCTGGGTCTTTAGCTTTTTCTTAAAGGTGCAGAGGGACTCATGTCGCATGTCATTCCCCACTCTCTCTCTCTCTCTCTCCCTCTCTCTCTCTATGAACTACTTATTATTTGGAGTTTTTGGCTAAACCGCTACCTCAACAATTCGATTATCAAAATGGTCCCCAGCTTAAAGATCAAACATTCACCCCGCAGATAAACATCCTTTGTGTTCCCAACATGACAGTCTGCCATCTCATAAAACAAAGGCCAGCATCAAATGAGCCCTCATGAGAAGCCGGAACCAGACATGATCTGGAATATTGTGCTTGAAAAATGACAGAAAATGACTCAAAATGTTTTCGCACAACAAGCGTCTGTTTCATATAAATATAATGAAGTCATTCATAGACAGCAGAAGAATGTTTCTGTGAATGAGCACAGCATGTTTCCACAGCACTGCGTCGTGTCGAAACGGTCAGCAGGGTTCATGTTTTTGGTGCATCTCTGCAGGTCTCACCCTGCGTGACTCATCTGTCTCCTTGTTAATGAAGCCACATCATCCTCATCACCCCCCCCCCCCAGACATACCAGACACACTAAACCGAGTCTGATGACAAAAACGACCGGGTGCCAAGGCAACAACAGCAGGAGGAAGAAAACACCGAATCATGACTTGAATGTTGGAGGATAATATGATAAAGCAATAAAAGAATGCAGCAAAACAGACCTGAATGTGCTGATTTGATTTCTTTATCAATTTGACCCTAATCGAGTCGACAAGAGGGCCTGACCTCAATCGACTTTGCCCCCCACACCACACTTCCTATAGTCAAAATAAAAGCCCCCGGGGCGCACACATGGATGTCGGTTGTTTCAAGCTATTGTCATTTAGATTTGACTAAAAAACAGTCTAGCCAGTTTGGCCAGATCACAAAATGTCCCAGATTCATTCACAGCAGAATTTCAATTTCTGCGTCTAAGAGCGGAGCCGTGGTGCTCAAAGATCGAAGAAGAAGAAGAAGTAAAACAACAACAACGCACTAAACTGAAGAGTCCAGTGTGGGAACCTCAGAGGGGAAACCCCCAAAGATAAATGAATCAAACGAGCTGATAGAAAAAAACCTTGCACAGGTCAGCAGGAATAAACCACAACAAAAGACACAACAGACGCTGAGCTCCACATCAAAAAATCACCCAGATCAAAAGAGCTCGTGTCCGCTCAGAGTTTATCCTCTTATTACTCAACACACATATGGCAGCCGTGCACAGCCAGGCCTCTGATCTGTGTCCACCTAGTGGCTGAAAAACACAGAATCACAGATGTGACCATGCACTACAGATACACATGTTTTTAAAATGTTTAATTCGAGGTCAGCTGTAGGGAATATTTAGTTTTAGAAGAGGCAGATTTTAGCTTTCTCACTTTTTTTAGACAGACGCTTTCCAGTGAGATACAAAGAGTGACAACTCCCATCCATTATTTTCTGCTTAATCGGGGGTTGGGTCTTGTGGCAGCAGGTTTCCCCAGACGTCCCTCTCCCCAGCTCATCCTGGGGGGTCCCAAGGTGCTCCCAGGACAGAAGGGGACTACTTCATTATTATGATTATCTGGCTTTTTATGTTTTATTATGAGGACAGGATACTGGATAGTCGGAAACAGGGATGCCATGTGGTAAATGGTCATGTATAGGAATCCAACAGAGGACCATCCTCTGCACGATCTGACCCCTGAGCCCTGACCCCTGAGCAAAACCAGCACCCTGCAGAGAGGGACTTTTGTAGTACCACATTCAGATGCAGTCAAATGAAGCTAAAGCTAGCCACTAACTACCCTTTAGATTAATTTGTATAAAAAAGTGCTTTCTGGATTTGCTCTTCATTCAGGTTAGACATGTCGCAAACACAGACGCTGTGTAAAATAAGGATGTCAAAATGTCTGAAACTTTTCAACACCACATGTTTTAAAAGACGATACGATCTCCACGGTTGCAATGATCAGTCGCATCGATAAGTACGGAAGCTTTCTAAAAAAGAACGACATCTTTGTCATGAAGTCAAAAGTTGCAGTCAAACTCCTGCACAGGGTCTGAATCAGCAATATTCATGTTTTTACAAATCTGTTGGTTTTTTTTGCAATTAAGACAGTGTGCATAACTTTGTATGCAAATAGTGGTCGTTAAAAACAATGACCCAATATTGGCAGACTAGGATTTAGATTTTTGTTGCTGTTGTATGGATATATTGTTTGACATTAACTTTGAATCGTATCAAAAACTGGAGTATCGTGAGAATCCTGGTGTAAAACAGCACAGACATAAAATATGACACTTATTTTATCCCATTTCAAAGTATTATTGTAATACTGAACAATGTAAATCACCTACAGTCAGATATTCTTCTGTTATGGTGCAGGCCTCGTCTGCATGTCAGTGTAGGTCATAAAGACTCAGAGGAATCTGAAAGAGTTAACTCCTCGTATCAGCTGAAGAAGTGAATGAAGGCCTGTCGGAGGATCGTCATAACTCTGCTGTGTCAGACATTAATGCACACAGACATCTGTATGGGGGATGAATGGGACATTGAGGAACTCGTCCCCTCTCCTAAGAGGGTCAAAGGCTGAACAGGCCGACATGACCTGAATGAGAGCCGGTCACATGGTCCCCCTGGAGCGAGCACAAGGCAATGAGGATAACTCTCACCACATAAAAGGACCTATTGTCGCCCTCTCTGACATCCACTCTCCCCCTGAAGTGAGGATCTCCACTAACCGCTCAGAAAGTAAAGAGGACATGAAGAGAGGCGAACAAAACAATGTGGAGGAGCAATAAAAGTTGTGCACTAATGGAGGGAAAACTGCCTGGAAACAAACCAGAGAAGAAGAGTTTCTCTATGCAGGAGGAGGAGGAGGAGGTCATGTGACTGAATTTAAATTCAATTCAAACATCATGTAAAGCAGCGCAGGTCACACCGTCGTCACAGCGACTGACACCTCTTAAACAAACGAGACATTTACACATAAGTCCTGATTACATAAAGGGGACGCAGGGAGTCCTCCAACCCCCCCAAAAAACAAAGAACAACATCCAAACAAACAAGATTAGAGCTCAAACAGTTCATCTGTAAACTAATCAGTCAATTCACTGGAAAGTATCATCAACAGCATTCATTCACTAGTGCTACCATGACCCCTTCATGTGGTACTCTGGGAGTCTCTGATTATTTATTTTCTTAACATATTTTAACATTTTTTTGCATTTGGGGCTCCAAACAGGAAATATTAGAAAGAAAAGTGCGGCGGATTTGTCGAGCATGTTCAGACAAGTCACCGACAGTGAAGTGCAGGAGGCGATGTTAGCGGTGTCAGTGACGCTTCAGCACCCGCAAGCAACAAACGACGCAAAACAGTCAGAAAACATGACTCAAGTTTGGATTCTTTTGGAGTGGCCACAGAGAATGAGCCCAGGCCGCAGTGCGTGGTGTGCGGTCAATAATAAATAATATGAATATCAGGAATAAAACGGCCTCCTGTGTAAACTGTAGATTTAGATTAATAGCCCTACTCTATTTTCAATATTGGTCATAATGGCGGTCCTTGGAGAGCCAAATATTCTCTCTGTGAAAACTTTGAGAACCCCGTGATCTACAGCAGACGTTTGGGCTCTGGACGCTGTAACGAGCATTTTGTGGCGCTGGAATACTCGGTTGATTCATCAGGTGGTTGTAGTTTAAATTCAGTCCATGAAACATTTCTGCAGAAAATAAAGAAACAACTAAATTTACATCGACCTCCAGCAAAGAATGTTGTATTTAATCTTTTCATATTTAAGACTAGAAGTAATGCTTAGTTAAATCCTGGTTGTATATATTCTCATTCTTAGTTTTTATATTTGTAGTGCTCATTTACGTTGTATTTAATATTATATTGTGTTTATTTGCTAATATTGTGTGTTGGATAACCTGCTGCTGTAACGCCACAATTTCCCAGTTTGGGATCAATAAAGTAATTCTATTCTATTCTATTGCTGGTAGCAGATTTTCTGTAATATTTGTGTCATTTTGATGCATATTTGAAAAGGTTCATGCTTCAACT